GGACCCAGACCGAGGCTCGGCCGTTTGGGGAGTCGGGCTTCCCAGGCCCACTGGGCTGTGTGTAAGAGTCCTGCTTCTTTGAGCTTCATTTGTCCACAGCCAACAGTCTGAAACACTGAATGGAGAATTCCAAAAATGAACAATTGACGAGCTTTGAAACGCGATTATTGCAGTCTGCTGTTGGGATTGTTCTATCCTATCAGTTTCTGTGCTCAATCTCCATGCCTGATGCATAAGCCAAGGGAAAACAACACACGCCGGGTGCCGACACAATCGAGGCTTCCGACAGCCATGGGCCCTAGGAAGGCCTGTGGATGGTGCAGGGTGACGGTAATGAAAATGCTACTCACTAGAACTGGGGGTCGAGGGGCCCCACTAGGCCCCCCAGCCTCCACTCCCCCCCAGACCCTTGCTCTACGGGACAGGACTCACCCTGTCCCCGTGGCCCCCAGCCTCCTTTGCAAAAGGGCACTGGGCCCTGGAGTCACCCCAGGTCAGATCCCTGGGGGCCCTGGTCTGGGGCCCTGGACACCACCCTGCCCTCCTCCGTGGACCTGCACACCCGTCTGTCCCCGGCCACCACAGCATCAGAGCCAGGCAGCCGTAGCCTGGCCCAGCCACATCCCAACCAACCATGAACTCCAGGTGTGCCTGGCCAGCCCATTTGTGACCGCTTTGGACAGCATTACTGGGGGTCCCTGTTTGGGATGGCACTGCTGGGAGCTCTGCTATAGACGTATTACCAGGGGGCCCTTTTTAGATGTTATGGGGCCTCAGTTTGGAGGGCATTACTGGGGACCCCTCTGGAAGGTCATTTGCACTTCACCCCTCTGCCTATCTGTGCTTGGCACAGGGGGCTTGCAGAACCCACAGCCTGGCCAGAGGGGCTCTGAGCCCGGCCCCCACCCGGCACTGCTGACCTCCAATAGACTCAGCTCCTGGCTGCCACCCAGAGCCGTCCCACGAGACCCGGGTGAGCGGAGCGTGGACACATTCGCAGAATGCAGAAGGGGCCGTGAGAGAGCAGAGGTCCGGACGGGCGTCGTGTGTAGCAGCTGGGCTGGCCTTGGGGACCTCCTCGGGGCTGCCCTTTTGGGAAGCACAGCCCAGTGTGCTCCAGGGACCTGGCAGTGGGTGGCCCCCTTCTACTCAGCACCCCGGAGGCCCGACCTGGCTGCTGACCAGCGCCTGGCCCGGCGTGCGCACATCTGGGAAGCCGCTCAGGGGCTCTGGCCAGGAATCCAGAAGCACAGCTGCCTGTCCCCACCTGCGCCACCAGCTGGGGCATGAGAGCCATTGCCTGAGACCAGAGATTGGAGACCTGCGTGCCCTTAAAGCTTTTATGGCCTCATTGCAGGGAGGATGCTGAAGCCCAGAAAGAGGCAGGCCAGGCAGGTTCAGAGCCAGGGGGCCGCTGCTGTGACCCAGGTTGCCGGAGCCCCAGCCCTGCTCCCGCCCAGCCACATCCTCCCTGACCTTCTGCCCCTGCACCACCCCATGGCGCATGACATCTGTCGGCGGAGGCAAGGCCTCACCTGCCCTGCCCAGGTAGGGAAGCTTCCCCACCAGGCTGTCCCCTCCCACCTGCTGGCTCTGGCTGAACTACAGCACCTCATGTTCCCCAGCAACTGCCTTCTGGGAGTTATGGGACGCCACCGTCACAGATGGGACAGAGAGCAGCCCCAACTCGGGCTGCAGGGGGCCCAGGCTGAGACAGACAGGAGCAGGTGGCCTGGTCAGCACTGCCAGCCCAAGGAGAAACAGGATGGGCCGAGCCCACTGCACCCCAAAGGGCACCTGTGATGTCACATCTGCTGCGTACTTAACACCTGGGTTCTTCGCCACAGGGAAGTACAGACTGCTTTAGCACTTGTCTGTCTGTCTATCCCTACATCTATATATTTCTCGAATAGATGACAGAGGCCTGGCGTTCTCTTCAATGGACCAGGCCTGTCAGAGCCGGAGTGCTCGGGATCCGTAGGAGGCTCCTGGCATAGTCGAAAGGCTTGCCTCAGCTGGGCACAGTGACACACACCTGCAGTCCCAGCTATTTGGAAGGCTGAAGCAGGAAGATCACACGTTCCTGACCAGCCTGGGCAAAGTGAGACCATGGCTCAAAAATGAAAAGGGCTGGGAATGTAACTCACTGCGGAAGTGCTGGTGCAGCAGGCTTGGGAGCCTGGGTTCCATCCCCTGTGCCACCAAAAAAAAAAAAAAGGCTCCCCCCCTCCCTCACCGAGCCCCAGGAGGAAGCTCAGTGCCATGTCTGTACAGGAGACCCGCCCAGGAAGCAGCTGGGGCCAGCACCAGCACCAGCACCTCCGCCCAGCCCACTTCCTCTGCAGGACCAGCTGCCTAGCTAGCCAGGCTCTCGTGCCAGTGACCACCTCTGGGAAGCCACGGCCACCCACCCCCAGGCCCCAGCGGGGCTCGGCCCCTCCCCTGAACACACACTATCGTACACACACACACACACACACACACACACACACACACACGCACGCACACAGCCCTGGATCACTGTCCTGCTTACTCATTCAGTCTCTGGGCCCAGCGTGGAGGCTGTGCCCCCCACCCCAGGAAGCTGCTGCTCAGCAGGGAGCCCCTGGGCTCACAGGGAAGTGAGACTTCATCCGCTCTGCAGCAGCCAAGCTCTGGCACTCTGAGACCGAGGACAGCACCAGGAAACGCTGCATCCACTGCGAGCCTCCTCCATCCCTGCTGCCAGGGCTGGCCTCTCTTGCTCTGCCAGACACAGTGGACTGGACCTCGAGTGACCATGACAAGCCCCTCAGGCTCCTGAGACACCCCCCTGCCCACCCCGCCCAATAAACAGCGATGGTGAAATGGTCTGCAAAAGAGGATGTGTCCCCATGCAAACAGTGACACTTGGCAGTGACAATCAGTCGGGCCCAGGTGCCGCTGCACGTGCCTGCAGTGGGCGTCCCCCAGGCTATGCTGTGAGAGCGTCCCATGGGCAGAAGCCACGTTGGCCAACCACAAGTGTCTCCCACAGCCAGCGGAGCTGCGCTGTCACCACCTGGCTCCTGCTACTCCAGGGCTGACGTTTAGGTTCCCGGCTGCCCTGACAGGCCGGAGTCAGGAGGTGTGGTCCTTCCTAACCCAGCACATAATGTCCGGTCAGGCAGCCTAGAAGCTTCCAGCTGAGTCCTGATCCCCCGGGCTGGGCTGGTTATGGTGCTGGGTGGGGGTGGGGCCGCGCTCTGCCTGGCCTTTTAGGTAGCAATCCCAGGCAGGCAAGCGCAGGCCACTCGGGCCCTCCCCCAGGCCTGAGCCATGAACCAGGGTTTCCAGGTCACGGAGCCAGAGGGAGGAAACCTCCACCTCCGGCCAGGCAGTGACCCGTCCCTCCCTCGGGAGCTGCCAGGGACCCGAAGCTCTCAGCTGTCCTAGGCAGAGCTCCACCAGCTCCAGGGCTCAGGGAGAAATGCTGAGGCCAGGACCCCAGGCTGGGCACCACGGCAGGGCATGGCAGGGGCACCATATTTTGAGAACAGATGATTTGGGCGCAGCATTCCATTCAGTGAGAGCACAGGAATTAGTCATCAGTGTTTTCCGAAAGCTCTGCAGGTGACTAACACAGCCTGGGTGTGAACCGCCGCTGGGGGGGACCCCCAAGTGCTCCAGAAGGTCGGAAGCCCCCAGTCTCCCCACCCTGGCCCAGCCCAAGAGGGGCATCTGAAGCCTGGGCCTCGGCCCACACCCTGGCTGCTGGCCTGCTTCGGCCTCCCTGCCTGTTTTGGTGCCACCACATGCTCAGGATGGTCTTTACACTTTTAATGACTGGAAAAAATACCAGATTTTGTGATGTGAAAACATTTACCATCTGGCCAACGCTGCTTGAGGACAGTGGCTGTGAGAGAAGCCCCCACAGGAAGAGACCCCTCCCCACGGTGATTCTGTCCCTGAGCCTGGAGCGCAGAGGCAGGCAGGTGAGCCTGCACCTGAGCTGGCCTTCCTGTCCTTCCTCATCGGCTCCCATGTCCTAAACCCGTGTGTGGGGGCATCCCAGTAGTCTGGCCGTTTCCATTCCACAGGCGCAGTGAGGAAAACAAGCCCTCACTGTGGGCCTGCTGACCCTGCGGGCTTGGTCCACCCAGGGCCACGGCCCCAGGAAGTCCCACAAGCCGCTCCTTTCCACCCTCAATGGCTTTCATTGATTCCTGCCTTGAAAATTTCCCCACATCTCACTCCAGATGAGACGCAGTCTGACGGTGGCCACAGCGCGGCCTGTGCTGGCCCCTGGTTTCCGGGAGCCCAGAGCAGGGAGGGCCGTGGCTCCCAGAGCTGCGAAGGCCCTAGAAGGGTGGACGGGGGTCTGATACAGCAGACTGGAGACTTCCACCCTGCGGACTGCACCGGGAACCGCACTTCCCCAGGACTTCAGCAGCATGTGGAGTGGCGCTGACCCCTCCCCACAGGCCGGAGGGAGGTCTCCTAGGCTCTGCCTCACAATCACACTCGAGGCGCAGAGGGGCGCAGGCACAGAGTGGAGATCGGGGTTCACAGCTTTGCTGGCAACCAGGGACGCGGATGCCGGGGATGGCGACTCCCAGCTCCCACCCCAGGCCAGAGCCTGCTGGCGGTGCCCCTGCCTGGGCCCAGGGCACTGGCTGCACAACCCCTGGGGCCCGGCCAAGTAGGACAGGAGGAGGAGGAGCCCTGGCTACTCCACAGCGAGGGGCTGCCTCCCCCTCGCAGGCCCGGGCTGTGCCCAGGGCGGGACGCGAGTTCTGCTACGAAAACTCCGAATTAAACGGCTCCGGGCAGGAAGCCGCCTTTTCTCCCAGAAGGTCAGGAAGTCACGACGCAAGTTTGCGCTTTTCTTCTTCAATTCGAAGGAGGAAAGAGATCGGCGCTCCCTTCTCCCCGCGGCCCCTCCCGGGGCGCACGCCCCGCCCGCGCCCCCGCGTCGGAATGCGCGCCCTGACTCCACGCGGCGCCCGGGCGGACGGCGGACGGCCCGGGCCCCCACTCACCGGCCAGCAGCGAGCCAGGCAGCAGCAGCCAGTAGAGCGCGGCGCCGAGCACGTGCGGCTCCATGGGGCCGAGGTCGCCGCCGGCTACCGGGACTCGCGGGCGCTCGGGGCCCTGCGCGCCATGGCGCCGGACGGCGGGGCGCACGTGGGGCGGCGGGGTGCCCGCTCCTCCTGCTCCTCCTGCTCCTCCCGCTCCTCCCGCTCGTCCGCCGGCTGCAAGCCCGGCTGGGCGCACCTCAGCTCCGCGCTCCCGCCTGCCCGCTGACCCGGGCTTTATAAGCCCGCCCCCCTCCCGGTCCCGCCCCGCGCTCCCCGCGGCCGGCCCGGCCCCTCCTGCCCGCCCCGCCGCGCCGGCCCCATACCCCCGACCCGGGACCCGGCTCCGGCCCTGCGCCCCGAGTGTGCAGGCGGTGGACGGGCGCGTAGACACAGACTCCCCGGCCTGACCACCCCGCTGCCCCCACGCGCAACTGCGGCCCGCGTGGCCCGAGCAACTTTCGCTTTGATCCCGAGCGGCGAGGACGCAGCGCCCCCTGGGGACCGTGGGTGGCTCGGGGCTCCCGCCAGCGCCTGGTGGTTAGGGTGGAGGAGGCTGGACGGCTCAGCCGCCAGCTTGCTGAGTCCAGTGCGGTCTGAGCTGGGCCTTGGGCTTGTTGATACCTTTGCCTCGGACGGTGGTGACCGCAGCCGCAGCAGAGCACCTTGCCGTCCCCTCCAGTGGAGAGGCCAGGTCTGAGCCCACCTCGCCCGGGCCACCAAAGTTGGGCTCCATCCACCGGTGAAGTGGGCAGAAAGGAGAAGGAGAAGGGGCCGGACGGCCGGCTGCGCTCAGTCCACGATGCCAGACTCAGACTCGGCTGCGGCGGGAGCAGGGCCTTGAGGATCAGGAGCGACTTGGAGCCCTGACCGCCAGCTTTTCCCTTTCCCGAAAGCCAGAAACGCAGACCTCCTGGGAAGCCTGGCTTTGATCGCTGGCCAGCTCGAGAGTGAGAGGAGAGCGGAGTCTGTCTGCGTCCAAAATGTTCCTGCAAAGTGAGAAGGCGGCCGGCTCCCTGCAGAGCTCTTCAAAGGTGGGGAATGTGTGTCCAGAGATTTTTAAAGTAGCAGAGGATGAATAACTCCAGCAGCCAGTGCTAAGTAGCGGCTACAGAGAATCAAGCCTAAACGCCGCGGGATACAATGTTTGGACCCAGCAAGGCCTGGCCTCCCTGCAGCCCCCGCTCCTGCCGGGAGCCTTCCCAGAGCAGGCTGGGGAACAGACTCCTCGACTCCCGCTGGCCCCGGCCCTCCGGGGGTCCACTCCCCTTGGGCCATGTAAAGAAGCCTGGTGTGCCTGGGGAGCTTGGGCAGGAGCAGAGAAGGGCGGGAGCCCTCCCTTCCCCGTGAGGGGTGAGGGTCCCAGGCGGCCACACCCTGCCTTGCTGTCCAAGCACCTAGGGCCTGCCACACCTCCCTGGGGATGCCAGTTCCTCCTTATCTTTTATTTACCCACTTCTTTATTTTTGCAGTGCTGGGGATTGAACCCAGGACCCAGGGGCCATGAGCTCCACCCCAGCCTTTTTTAAAAAAAATTTAAGACAGAGTCTCACTAAGTCACTAAGCTGCCCAGGCTGGATTTGAACTTGTGATCCTCCTGTCTCCGCCTCCCAGAGCACCGGGATCACAGGCATCTGCCACTGCACCAGGCTCCCTCCTGTTCCTGAACACTTGGGGACTCCCTCCCCTGAGGACCCTTAAAAGCTGTGCAGTCACCACCCTGGGCTGTGGCACCTAAGGTGTCTGGATGTCTCTCTGGGCTCTAACCAGCAATCCCCCAAGTCTGGGGGCCCCTGGGGCTCTGACTCAGATGCTCCCCAGGGCCCACCCACCACTTAGCGCCCCCACAGAGGTGCAGGGTCTGGCTGTGCTCACAGGCAGTGAGGCCCTTGGCCACCCCACAGTGCCCGCTTCCCCGAGCTCCGTGCTCAGTGGGAGGCAGAGCTGCCCCTTGGAAGGGCGTGTGGTACTCACAGGGCCATGGAGGCAGCAACCCTGGTGGCCTCCCTGGCCTGCCCGGCCCTGCACCTCGAGCTGCTTCCCGCAGTGCCTGTGCCCAGACTCCTGGTCCTTGCCGGGCTGGAGTGTGGCTCAGTGGCAGAGCTCTGGCCTGGCATGCTTGGCCCTGGGTTTGAGAGAGCGGGGGCAAGGAAGATCGGTTATCCTCGAGGTGCAGGATGAGGACCAGACCCCTTGTCCAGGGCGCTGGCCACGCCTGCTCCCCTGACCCCTCCACCCTGGCTGCCGGGGCCTGCCCCTCACCCCGTCCGAGCGGGGCTTGCCGATGGAGTTCATCCTTATCAGAAGAAACACCTGACCACCCGGGAACGGCTGCAGGCAGCAGAGCCTCTCGCACAGGACCTTCAGGAGCAGAGCGGCACCTGACGGCTCCGCCCAAGATAGGGCAAGCACCCGGCCTCCCTGGCACCTGTGCTGCTATGGGAGTCGCCCCTGAGCCCAAGACCTGACCCGTGTGGCAGTGGAGGGTGGCAGCCCTGGGGCCCGAGGCGCTCAGCAGGGGCGTGTGGAGGCTTCACGGGCTCAGGACAGACCCACGGGTCCCGCCACAGGGTGAGGAGAGGGGCTGCAGGCTGCTGCACCAGGGCCCGGGCCTCCGCCCATCACCCAAGGTCCTCCCTGCCGCTCCATCCCTGCCCCTCCTCCAGGAGCAGGAGGCAGCTGCCAGCCCTACCCTCCCTCATGGACCTGGTGCCGCTGTCCCCTCCAGCCTCAGGAGGATGTTCTCACTCTTCATAGTGCCAAGTGCCTCACAGGGCCGCCACCGTTTCCACCCTGGTCCCACGGTTATATGAGGAGTCGTCCATCGCAGACCTCTGCCCACAGACATCCCTTGGTCACCTCCAAATGTGCTGGTGCAACCACAGTCAAATGCCCTAGGCCTTCCTCTCTCCTGCTGTCGCTGCATTCCAGGAGGTTCCTGAAGCTGAGATAGGAACCTGACCTATCGACCCACAGAATCAGTTTGCAGGTTCCTGACTCCCAAGAAAGGAAAAGAATTTTCAGGCCAGGTGTCGTGGCGCATGCCTGTAATCCCGGCACTCGGGAGGCTGAGCCAGGAGGATCACTTCGAATTTGAGGCCAGCCTGGGCTATATATAGCAAGAACCTGTCTCAAAAAACAAACTAACAAACAAAAGAGAACTTTCAGGGCTCATCAGTAAGAAGCATGGGCACAGTTTATTAGGGAGAAATTCAAAAGTACAGGAGGCAGTGAGAGAAGAGGAAGAGAAAGGCGGGGGGGACTGACCTTATTTTCTGGAACTGGGGACATTTATGCTTCTCCTGAGGCTGTGGAAACCCGGGAGGAAGGTGGCCCACCCCCAGGGCCTGCTCTTTGCTTTCTTGATTAAGCCAATTAATGGCCTGTCGTGTCCTGCGGAATTTTGGCCGGGAACTGGACATAGATGCTGAGTGACTTCGACTGGGTTGGAAGCTCACTCTTCCTGCAGTCAGGACTTCCGCTGTCCTTTCTGCCTCTCTAGCTGCTCCCCACCTCACACCCAGCCCCCAGAGCCCTGCTTCTGGGCGGTGCTCGCTGGGTGCCAGGCCTGGGCACGTCCTGCCTGCTGTTCCCAGGCTCTGGGGGCTGCCTGTCTCCAGCACGGCCTGACGCTGGTGAAGCCTGTGTGGAGGCGCTGGGTCTCGGGGCCAGCAGCTGACCTGCGGGCCCTTGGAGCTGGGGCTGGAGCCGGGGTGCAGGTCATGGCAGCAGTCACCAGGCAGGTCGCGTGCCCTTGACCCCTTCCTGGGCTCACCTCTCGTCAGGTTGGTTCCTGGGGATGACACAAAGTCCCACGGGCACAAAGACCTTGCAGGGCTTCTCCCTGGAGCGTCACCAGCCTGTCCCAGACCTTGGAGGCTGAATCCCACCCTTCTCCAGCCCTGGGTGCCGAGCCACCCAGCCACATCCCCAGGCTTGCTTATTTTCAATTCGAGACCAGGCTTCCCTGAGCTGCCCAGGCTGGCCCCGAACTCGCACTCCCTCCTGCTCCGGGCTCTGGAGTAGCTGGGATTGCGGGTGTGCACCTGTGTCTGGCTCACAGGTGCCCCTGAGAGGCAGTACTGGCCTGCTCACCTTAAATCACCCCTCCAAGCTCCCAACACCCTGGGCTCCATAGCACAGCCTGTGGTGGCCGCTCAGTGAGCACTGGGGGTGACGTCTCACCAGCCGAGTCCTCCTGCCCTCCGAGGGGGTTGGCTCACCCCTGGCTGGGCACAGACCTTCAGAGTCATCCCAAGAGGGCACCACAAGGAGGCCTGCTGGAGGGAGACACCCGCACGGCGGGGGGGCACAGGGGCCCCGGGCCGGGACACACACTCGATCGCGAAGACTCAGTCACTAGCACCCAGTGATTGTGACGATGAGGTGGGATGGAGATGATGGTGGTGGTAATTAGGAAGACAGCGATGAGAAAAATGCGAAATACTAACCAACTTCATATTAACTATGTGCTAAGAGACAACATGCTGAATGTAACAGGTAAAATCAACAGTATTGAAGTTGTTGTGCCCGATTTTTGGGGGGTACCGAGGATTGAACTCAGGGCCTCGCACTTTCGAGGCAGACCCGGTGCCATGGAGCTAAGCCCCTGGCCCTCCTATTCTTTTCTCAGTAGCCACCACCTTCCATGTCACCATTGGACACAGCAGGGCTGGGTGCCCTTGGTGGGACTGGGGCGACGTGAGCCCTCTCCACTCGGACTCTGAGCCAGGTGTGCCGAGGGCTGTGCGGGCAGCATGGAGAGAGTGGGCGGCACAGGCCCCTCCAGGCCTGAGCAGGCTCCAGGGGCTCCTGGCACAGACAAGGGAAGCGGGGGCCTGGGAGAGGCGGGGTCCTGGGTCACTCCCACGGGCAGCGGCAGCAGCCTCTCTGACCTCCCCCGGTGCCGGTCCGTGCAAGGGTCCAAGGCTGTCTGGCAGGTGCTGGTCAAGGCCCAGGTGCTCCCCACAGCTTGGTCACAGCCGAGGCCCTGAAAAGCTCCCTTGGGCTGCAGGTGACCGATGGCTCTGGGGGACCTGGTGCGGGCCAAGCTCCCCAGCTGTGCCCCTTGAGTCCCCTCCTCTTCTCTGCCCACGCTGGGGACTGAGAGGCTCACTCCGAGGGAGGCTGGGAAGGCGTCCGGCCCCGGAGCACACGGTGCACCTCACAGAGGCGCCAAGAGGCCCCCACAGGGGGATGCTGGCAGACGCGGTAGTGGTCATCACGGGCCTGAGTGAACGGCACCAGGACGCAGCAGGCGAGGGGACTTCGAGTCACTCACACTGAGCAGCAGTAGCACTGGGCGGGAGACTCGGGGGACCAGGATGGGCTTGAGAGAAGTTGGGGAGGACAGCATGAGGTGTGGGTCCAACTCAGGACCTCTGGCAATTCTGTCCACTTGAGCACAGATAAGACAGCGGTGACGGTGACAGTGCTGATCGTGTGGATGGTGGCAGTGATGGTGATCATGGCAGTGACGATGGTGGCTTCCCGTTCTCAGCCTGGTACACAGCTGCCTCTCAGTGCCCTGACCCATAGTGGGCCCTCAGAAGCCAGTCTCCTGGTGGGCACTCGTCAATTCTCCTTTTCTGTGGGGCAGGTGTCCAGACACGGTTCTTGGCAGTCCTCGGGATGGAACCCTGGCCCCTATGTGTGCTAGCTAGGCGAACCCCGTGCCAGACCCACACTCCCAGTCCCGACACGGACTCTCGCCCCTCTGCCATCAGTCTCCCCTGAGGACTCCTACCAGACTGTGCGCTCTGGGCACTCCACACCCATAGTCACGAGGACCTTGTGGGTGGGACCTGGACCAGGTGAGCAGCCAAGGGTGTTCACCTTCTCTATTCTACACTGTGTATTTCTATTAATGTGGCCTTATATGGATTTACCTTTATGACCATGCTTTAATCAAGGGCCTTTGGATTGCAAGAAGAAACAGCCAGAGGCATTTTAAGCAAAAAAGGCAAATGCATGGGAGAGCATCAGGTAGTTCATAAAAATCCAGAGCACTATGAAGAGCTTTTTGGCCTCCCAAAAAACCAAGTTGGAACCTACTTAAAACAACCGGCCTAACAGTTTCTGTCTGCCTCTGGGGCCACATGCTACACAGGTGGTAGAGCTGACCACCCCAGAGATAGGCAAAGCTGCCCCCAAGCTTGGTTCCAGAACAGCGCCTGATTGGCTCTGCTTCGCACCTCTTGTCCAATCAGCTGTGACTGGGAGGCAGGGTCCAGGGGAAAGTGGGCCCTAGACCCCGCTGCTGTACCAGATCAAGGCAGCTTTCTGAGGGGTCTCCAAGGCCAAGGTCACTCCAAAGATGTGGGCTCCGAGGTGGATGTTACAGACGGGACAGTCTGTATGGCTGCACTCTGAGCCACCAGGATGCACGCTCACCCCGGGCACTGAGGCAGGTCCTTAGGGTCCTGACTGCTGGTGCTGAGGTGCAAAGGCTGGCCACACCCCAAGTCCTAAGCTTCCAATGCTCCTAAACCCGACACCCCCGAGGGCGGATGGATCTCAGACTCGTGTTCTGGATTCTGCAGGCCTGTGGATGGTCCTCAGACCCAGCTCCTCAGGGCTCCCTTCATCCTGCTGGTGGGGTCCAGGGTGCAAGAGCAACAGCAGCTGCCCCTCCTGCCCCTCTGGTATCCTGGGGTCAGCTCTGGGAGCCCAGAACCACACTCTGGTCTGGCTGGAGAGGGCAGTGGGAGAGAAATGAGATGCTGCTAGTGGCATCTCTGTCCCCAGGGCTTATCTGTGGGGCAGGGCCGGGCAACAGTGGAGTCAGGAGCCAGATACTGAAACAGCTGCTTGTGATTAGGCCTGGCTGTCTCTGCCTGATTTTGCAAATGTGGAGCAAGGAGTAGGGGCCACAGGAGGAAAGATGTATAAAGGCCTCTGTGGAGAGGCTGAGTCTGTAACTTAAGCTCCCATCATAGCCCTACAATCCTTTTCATTTTTGAGGCAGGGTCTCTTTTTGTAGTTCAGGCTGGCCTTGAATTCAAGGCAATTATCCTGCTTCAGCCTCCCAACTGCTAGGATTACATGGTGTGCCACTACACCTGGCTATTACAAACTATTTTGGGGGGGGGCAGTTACCGGGATCGAACTCAAGACCTTGAGCTTTCGAGGTAGGCGATGAAACCACTGAGCTAATCCCCAGCCCTACAAACTATTTTTTGAGACAGGATCTCACTATGTGGTTCAGGCTGGCCTTGAACTCCTGGTGATTCTCCTGCCTCAGCCTCCCAACTGCTGAGATTACAGGTATTCGCCACCACACCCGGCTGCCCATCTTATTTGATGTATTTCAGCATCAGACCAATGCGGCTTCTAAAGGTGCTTCAGTATGCATGTCACTGACTGGAGCTCAATGTTTGTTTATAGTCAGAGTTTATACGAAGTTACACAGTGAAATGTACAAATTTTAATGGGCCCTCAATTAAGTCCACACCTAGGTAGCCCTAAGGTGTCACCATATGCACCATTTCCATCACCCCAGAAACTGTATGTTCCTTCTAGGCCAAATCCTGCCCCCAATTTCTGGGGGTTTTTTTGGGGGGGAGCTGAGGATTGAACCTGGGCCCTCCTCCACACTAGGCAGTGTTCTAGCAAGGGGGCACACCTGCAGGTATTCCTGTTTTAAGAAACACATTTTAAATGGGGCAATGTGGCGCACGCCTGTGATCCCAGCACTTGAGAGGCCGAGACCAGCCAGGGTTACATAGTGAGTTCAGCCTGAACTACACAGCCAGACCGTCTCAAAAACAAAACCCCCCACATTTTACATGGTGACCCAGAGTATACGTATCAAAACAAAACTAACAAAATGTAGCCCTTAAAAGTGCTGATTTGTCTTACACTGCCTTTGTGTTTTTGGTGGTTTTGTTTTATTGGGGGGGGGGTGGTACCAGGGATCGAACTCGGGACCCTGCGCTTGCGGTGGAACCACTGAGCTACATTCCCCCGGCCTCTTACACTGTTGTTCGGTTTTGTTTCTGCAGCCCCTGGGGTGCGAACCCAGGGCATCGCGCGTGCCAGGGAAGTGCTCCGCCACCGAGGCACATCCCTATTCCCACGGCTCTTTACCCTGAACAGCCCAGGGGCTCCCCAGCCGGCACCATCGCCAGGTCCTCGCGCTGGTTATTTTGCAAGCTCCAATCGCATTACCCAACTGACGTAGTTTTGTTTTAGATAAGCACAGCTCATTCTCCTCGCAGAAGACGCGGAGTCGCAGCAGAGGCCCTCGGCCTGCCCTCCTGCCCGGAGCGGCCCGGGCAGGGCCTCCGCGGGAGGGAGCCCAGGCCGGGGGAGCTCTGGGCTCCGCCCGTCTTGTCTTTTAAACCTCGGCTTTTCTGGACCCAGTTTCTTTGTCTCTCCTTGGTCGGGACCCCTGCCGTCGGCCGCTTCCGCTACTCGGCCTCCATTCGCGCCCTGGCGAGGAGCCCGTTCAGGGAGCGGCGCGGGGGCACTGCACATCCACGTCGGCCCGCGCACAGGGCTTGGACTGCACGCCTCGGCGCTAGCGCGCAGGCGTTCGACGCGACATTTCTCCGCCTCCGGGCTCGGCCAGAGGGTGCGGCCCGGCAGGGCTAGGTCAGCGCATGTGCAGCGGGCTTAGGACCCTGTCACAACGGCGCAGGCGCTGGGCGCGCCCATTCCTATCCCGGGCGCTCTGCCGGAAGGTGGGGCCCGGATGGGGCGGAGCTGATAGAAAACCGCGCGAAACCGGCGCGAAACCGCGCGCGCCCTGATCTCGCAATGGCACAGAGCCGGGTCACCGACTTCTTCGCTTGCCGCCGCCCGGGGTCTGCAGCTCCGCGGGTCAAGGCAGCCTGCCGCACCCCGAGCCCTGCCCGGCCCGCGCCCGGCCCGGGCAGCAGCCGCAAGCGCGCCCGTCCTCCCGCTGCGTCCGGGGGCGAGCAGCCCGCGCCGCCCGCGCGCCGGAGACTGCGGCTTCGGGACGTGGTGAGGCCGGGGGGATCGTGCGGGGGCCGAATTGGGGGAGACTGGGAAGGGGCGCTGAGGGCGCGGGGCGGCTCCTGCACGGCCACACCTGCAGGTAAGGTGCAGAGGGGGTGCGTGGGAGGGAAGGACTGGGGCCGTAGCTCCCGACACAGGAAGAGGCCCGAAGGTCTGAATCAGGATCTGACTGCCTGCTGGCAAAGCCCAGGTTACCGGGAGGGTAGGTGAGGGTCAGCCCTGGAAGGGGCCAGACCAGGGGTGAACAGGCTGGGTGGGCAAGGTGGGCTCAGCAAAGTTCTCGCCAACGGGAGCCCCACAACCTTGCCTGCCTCCATGGCCGCTTGCTGAAAACCTGGCTACGCTTCTGTAGGCCAGGTGCACCCTGGACTCAGTCACGTCTCACCTGTGGCCTCCTTCCTACCAGGACTCCTGTCCCAGTTCCCCAGCCACCCTCAGCTCCCTTGCCTGTCCTTCGCCGGTCAAGAAGATCAAGAAAACCTCCGCTCCTGCACCAGCAGGCCAGCTGTCCCTCCCCGCAGCCCCACAGGACAAGGTGAGAAGGCTGGACGAGGCAGGCGGGGGAGGGCCGGCGGAGCGTGGCCACCTGACGCGCCCTGTGTCCCCAGGTCCCCTCAAAGGACACCCTCTCTGAGCTCCAGGTGTGCCTTCAGCGTGCACGGGAGCTGGGCACACGCGTCCAGGCACTGAGGGCCAGGCCTCAGGAGGGTGCTGAGGAACCCAGCCCACCGGAGGCCAACCTCCAGGAGCAGCCATGGTGAGTCCTGGGCAGGGCCAGGGAGCTAGCAGAAGACCGGCTGGCGCAAGTCCACGTCCTCCCACTGAGGGGCAGTCACTCCTGACCCTGCTGGCTCCAGATGCCCCCAACAGCCCGAGGCTGGTGAATGCCCAGTGTTGGCGCAGAGGAAGCTGGCTGGGTGTGGGGTGAGGTGTGGCCGAGGCATATCTGTGCCCCTTCCCTAGGGCTGTTTCCCACAGGTGGAGTCACACCAGGGTTTCGTGAATTGTGTGGTTTTGAGCCTCTGGCTGAGGGTCCCTGGCCACATTCCCTGCTGCTGGGACCTGGAGGTGGGGTGGCCAGTGCTTTCTCTGAAGCTGGCTCCCTCCCAACAGTGGCCAGAAGACGCCTGCCTACCAACGCTTCCATGCCCTGGCCCAGCCCGGCCCACCAGGCCTTGTGCTGCCCTACAAGTACCAGGTGCTGGCCGAGATGTTTCGAAGCATGGACACCATTGTGGGCATGCTCCACAACCGCTCCGAGACTGCGACCTTTGCCAAGGTCAAGGGGGGGGTCCAGGACATGATGCGCAAGTGAGTGGTCCATGGGGAGGCTCAGTCTTCTCTCGTATCCACAGCCAGCCTTGCCTGGTTCCTCCTGACCCAGTCTCCTCCTGTAGGCGCTTCGAGGAGCGCAACGTGGGCCAGATCAAAACTGTGTATCCGATGTCCTACTGCTTCCGCCAGGAGCGCAATGTCCCCACCTTCAAGGACAGTGTCAAGAAGTCTGATTACCAGCTCACCATAGAGCCACTGCTGGGCCAGGGTGAGTGCTGGCCACGGCCTCGCCTCCCCTGTGCTCACTCCTCGGCCTCCAGTTTCCTCACCTGCAGCCCAGGTTTTGCGGAGGGTGGCTGGGCGGGCCTGGACCAGGGCTCAGCCTGTACTCTTCCCCATAGAGCCTGGTGGCGCCGTGCCTCAGCTCACAGCCTCACGCCTGCTGCAGCGGCGACAGGTTTTCAGCCAGAACCTGGTGAACCGGGTCAAGGAGCACCACAAGGTGAGCAGCCGCTGGGCCCTGTCCTGCCTGGCTGGGTGGGCTGCGGGCGGGGAAGGGCAGTGCCGCCTCCCTGGACAGTGGGCCGGAGCTGGTAAGCTCGGGGCTGACCTCACACTCGAGGCGTTCGGTGACGTTTCATCAGTACCACGTGTGTGCTAGGTGGGCAGTGTGTGTCCTTACCTGGCAGAGTGAGCCAGGCAGTCACCTGCTTCTCCTCCTACAGGCCTTCCTCGCCTCCCTGACCCCCCCCATGGCTGTGCCTGAGGACCAGCTGACGCGCTGGCACCCGCGCTTCAACGTGGATGAGGTGCCTGACATCGAGCCTGCTGAGCTGCCCCAGCCACCCACCACGGAGCAGCTCACCAGTGCCCAGGAGGTGCTGGCCCGCGCCCGAAGCCTGATGTCGCCCAGGGTGAGGCTGGCCGGGCTGACTCAGCCCTTCTCCTGGGGGCAGCGGGTGGCCTGACAAGACCTGTGGTGCCTCCTGGGTAGTGGCCCAGAGAGGGATGGGATGAGCCCATGCTCAGAAGCTGGGCCTCCCATATCCGCTGCCTCCCCCAGGAGCAGCTCCTGGGTGCCCTGTGCGTTGTGCCCGGTCCTGAGGCAGAGACTCCTGGAGACCTGGGTGGCCTTGGGCAGAGCCGGAGCAGGGACACAGCACCCCTCTGCTGTCTCCTCTGATCTGTGCTCACCTGCAGATGGAGAAGGCGTTGTGTCACGCAGCACTGTGTGCAGCGGAGCCCGGCAGCCCTGGATCCCCCGGCCCGGCCCTGCCAGCCAGCCCTGCCAGCCCGCCCAGCGCCCTGAAGGGTGTGCCCCAGGCCCTGCTGGAGCGGGTGAGTCCATGGTGACAGTGACAGGATGGTGGGGGCTCGAGGTGGCCTGCCATGCTAACCTCATCCACTGCAGATCCGTGCCAAGGAGGCCCAGAAACAGCTGGCGCAGATGACGCGCTGCCCGGAGCACGAGCTGCGGCTGCAGCGGCTGCAGCGACTGCCCGAGCTGGCCCGCGTGCTGCGCGGTGTCTTCGTGTCTGAGAGAAAGCCCGCGCTCACCATGGAGGTGGCCTGCACCAGGATGGTGGGCAGCTGCCGTGCTGCCCTGAGCCTGGGTATGCGTGGGTCAGGGAGGAGTCCAGGGTGGGCAGGGTCCCGACCAGGGTGTCTATGCACCCGATGCCCACAGGGCGCCTGCTATGTGTGTGGGCAGTGGCCTCCAGGGCACCTACCTGCTCTGCAGCCTCCCCGGGGCCTTGCAAACCTGCTGTCCTTGTGGGCCTTGGGACAGACTCCTGACTCCTTACCCGTGTCCTCTCCTCCCAGACCACAGGCATGGTCTGCCCGAGGCTTTCAAGGCTGGGGACCCAGCTCTGCATTCGGGCTTCAGTGAAGGGTCCCCCGCCCGTCCCTTCCTGAAAAGCACCCTGGGGATTCTGGCTCCTGTAAGGAAGTGGTGCACACAGTAGACACTCAAGTAGCTTGGCCCCGGCCCAAGGGTGCCCTGTTGCTGCCATAGCCCTGCTGGGAGGTGGGAGCTGGGGGCTGGGCCGACCTGTGGACTCACCCGCCTCACTCTGCAGGGGAGATGGAGAGGCACCTGCTGCTCCTCAGCGAGCTGCTGCCTGACTGGCTCAGCCTGCACCGCATCCGCACCAGCACTTACATCAAGCTGGACAAGGCTGCCAACCTGGCCAGCATCACTGCACGGCTGGCCCACCAGGCCCACACTGAGGAGGGGCAGTGAGCCAGCCACCGAGGACCGGCACAGGAGCCCAAGGTGCCTCCTTCACTCCTGCACTGTCCCGAGGGCCACAGGCTGCATGACCAGGGCCTCCAGCCAGTGTGGACTCCTGGGGTCTTGTGCACTGTCAGTGACGTCTGTCCCCATGGGACTGTCTTTGCTGCCTGCCTTGAGCACTGCCAGAGGCTGGGAAGGGGGCCCAGGGCCTCGTGGGTTGCACAGAAGTAGCATTGTGCACAGCTGGCAGTGTGGTTGGTCCCCTCCATCCACGTCCTGGTCCTGGAGCCTGTGAACTGTGACCTCGTGGCAGGGACATTTTGACGTCCACCCACAGGCTTGATGGGCTTCCCCTCCACTACAGGCTACTTCAAGGCCTCTTCTGGGTCCTGCCTGGGGCCAAGGCCCAGGTCCAGGCTGAGTTCAGCAGTGACCCAGAGCTGCCAGCGCTACACTAGCTCGATCTTCCTGCAAGAGATGTCTCACCACCAGGGGGCGCTGGCCTCTGGGCAGGCTGGATGAAAAGGTTCTGCCGGGCAGCAAGAGGTCAGACTCCTCTGTAGAGTGAAGAGAGCTTGTAGTTTTCTAGGTTTTATGCTAAGAAAACCTGCCAAACTTAAGTTCCTTTACAGTTTCTGAAACAGTATTTCAGTAGGATCCACCGCAGGACTGCTTGATTTGCTTATTTCTAATTTAACCTTTTCAAACTTCAAATACCTAAGGCCTTGGAAGGAGAACCTATTTCCTAATCTAGCTGGCTTTTTATAAAACCTGACATGTAAGACGTAAATAAAATTTTGCTACCAAGACGACTGCCTTTCAGTGCTGTTTCTGCTATGGTGGGAGACGGAAGATCTTGTGTGTGGGCTGTTGGCAGTGTTGAGTTTAGGTGACAGCACTTCATGAGGTGGAGAGGGGCCCTGGCTTACCCAGGTAGCCTGGTGTCACCACGGTCCTAAAGCAGGGCCAGGCTGCCAGAGGCACAGGACCTGCAGAAGGAACTGGCCTGCCAGGCCACAAGTGCAGTTACGTGTTGGGCCACAATGGGAGGCCAGGGAGGCGACCCTGGCCCCATGGGGATGAGTCCTATGTGACCCTGTGCTGCCTGCTGATGGGATCTGCTCCCCTGCAGAATGGGCTTGGCTCCCCCAGCCTGCCATCCCTCCAGGAGGGCACAGCCATGAAACGGGTGCAGCGCACTGCCCTGCCGCACCTGTCCCGGCTGGGGCTGCCAGCGGGGAGACCAAGGCCCAACGGAGTCTGGCTCTGTGCTGTGGCCCAGAGGATAACGCCGTGTGTAGAAAAGCTGTTTATTAGTTTGTCTGCCTGTGGCTCTGCCCAGCCCTGGCACTTCTGGAACCCATGGGGCGGCCTGGGAGGACTGCGGACACTGGTTACGACCAAGGAGATGCTCAGCAGGCAGAAGTAACAGCTGCAGCCAGTGGCCCCTGCAGGTCGCTGAAGGCACGAAGGTGAACTGTTTCTTGTCTGGTCCGGCTGAAGAGGTCACTCGTACTGCAGGAGGGAGAAGAAGGGGACGGGGCCCAACTTCTCCCTGCCCTTGAGTGAGGTCAGCTCCACCAGGGTCACGCTTTCCAGCACCTCGGCCCCCAGCTGGCCCAGCAGCTCACAGGCCGCACACATGGTTCCTGGGGGATGGAGGGAGGTTGGCACGGCCAGGAAGCTCCCGCCAGTCCCCCGCCCCGGTGCTGAGACCCCTGCCGGGTCCTCAGCTGTCCCGGGAGGCTCTTACCACCAGTGGCCAGCAGGTCGTCCACCACAACCACCTTCTGCCCGGGCTCCAGGGCATCCTTCTGGATCTCCAGCTCGGCCTGCAGACAGGAAGTGAACACTCGAGCCTGGGTGCTGGCATGTGGCCCCACCGGGCCTGGCTCCCATCCCGCCCTTACATTTCCTGGCTCCGTGAGCGTGGCCTAGTGGGGAAACCTCTCTGAGCGCCCAAGTCCACTGCAACCACAGCAGCTCCACTTGGGGCTCTGGGGGGCCAAGGAACCCTGGTGTCAGTGGCCTGGCCCTACCCTCTCACCTTCCCGTATTCCAGTGCATAGGAGGCAGACACAGTGGGGCCCGGCAGCTTCCCGCGCTTCCGGATGAGCACATAGCCCAGGCCCAGCTCCTGGGCCAGCGAGGGCCCAAACAGGAAGCCCCTGGAGTCCAGGCCTGTAGGGGTGGGGAGGGGGCGTTAGGCATCAGCTGGTGGCATGGCAGCATGGGGGCCAGGCCGGGGGGGCAAACAGCTCCCACAGTGACAAGGGGCACCCAGACTTGCTGGCTTCTCCACCTCTGGACCCGGTGGGTCCTATGGGCCGAGACTGAGAAGTTACCTGACCTCTGGCAGCTCAGGCACTGTGCACTGCGGCACACAGACACCCGGCCACTCCCCACCTCCAGAGCCTGCCGAGAGCCCTGTCCCAGCAGAGGCCGAGGCCAGCCTGGGCGTCTCCGAGCGGACGGGGCTGTGGTGGGCTTGCTCAGCGTGCCCTACACACCGGATGTGGGTGGGAGGTCCTGGCAGGAGGTGAGGAGGGGTGGCCCGGTAGGGCTGCGGTTTCCCTTGGGGCAGTGAGCCAGACAGGACCACCTGCTCTCCCCGACCCTCTCCTGGGCTCTGCCTTCAGTGGGAGGCGCGGCCTTTCACAGGGGACAGAGCCCTCAAGGGTGTCTCTGAAAGCCCAGGGCCTGGGAGGAAGGGAGGGTGGCCGGGTGAAAGATCCTGGGAGATGGACAGCCAGCTCTGGGCAGTGCAGCCAGGAACCTGCAAGACTGCAGGCGGTCTAAAACCGCAGGCCTTCCGGGAGGGAACAGGTCCAGTCCTACACCCACCAAGGCTTACCAAGTCCCCCTGAGACCCGAAGCCCTCCCGTGAGCACCGGGAACCCCCACGGAACCAGGCCCTCCGGGTGCCAGCCCAACACCAGCGTCAGAGGAAGGAGGAGCAGACCCAGGACACCAGGGCAGGGCGTGGCCAGCCCGAACAGGAAGAGGGAGGGCAGGAGTCGGAGGTCAGAGGTCGGAGGTGGGGCAAGGGTCGCTGGTTCAATGCGGGCTATAGGAAAGAGCGGTGGGGGCGCACGGAGGGACGACAGGATGGGGGCACAGGGGGTTGCGGTGGGGACGGTGGGATGAAGGGCACTGGCCTGCGATGTAGTCAATCTTGCCTCCGTGCGCGGTCTTCAGATGGCTGGCCAGCAGGCGGATGCAAGCGCGGAAGGATTCGGGGTCCTTTAGGAGGGGCGAGATGTCCCTGCATAAGGACAGTGTGATGACACGCGCTGGCAGGGGGCGCCGCCAGCAGGACCCCACGCCGAGCCTGGAGCCAACGCTCCGGAGGCGCCGCGCAGGCCCAGCCCTCGTCCGCACCTAAAGAGCACGCCTGGGATGGGGAAGTCGGGGAAGCTGCGAATGCGCCGGGCCACCAGCTGCAGCTCGGGCTCCGACATGGCCTCGTTCACCCAGGGGCCGAGGCGGGCGGGCGGGGCGAGGCGAGCGGGGCGGGGCCGGGCGTGAGGACGCAGCGAGGACGCGGGCGGGGCGGGGCTAGCGGGGAGGGGCGGGCGTGGGAAGGGCTGGGGCCGGAGAGACCGCCTCCGGGCTGCGGGACACCTCCCTGGTGCGAGCACGTCGCTCCGCCTGTCTCGGTCCCTCCCGCGCGCGCTCGCCACGCCGTGCAGGCCGAGGGGGTCACCGTGGGGTGGGGCAGCGGTGGCTGTCGGTCGTCAGGGCCCATCTTGCCCAGAGCACAACATCCCAAGCATCACGCCCTGTTTAAAACCACAGCTACGGAACTGAGAGGCCGCTCGTTCCTTTATTTCTTTTCCGTGTCTTTTCCCAACTTGTGCAGCAGTCCAGCGTGGGCACGACAGTCCTGGCAGATGAGCACTTGCTCCCACGTGCTTCCGGGAGCGGGCAGGCTGTATTCCTCCAGCCTCTGCGATGTCCCGTCCACTAGGCCCACAGCATCGTGGGCTCAGCACAGAACCGGGAACTTCCACCCTCGGGTTGAAGTAGGTGCAGGAACTGCCCGGAGCCCTCCAGGCCCTGGGCCAGGGGAAGTGGGCAGGCCCTGCTGCTGGTCGCGGGTGCCCTCTGCCTGTGGCTGGGATGCTTCCTTCCCTCAGGCACTGGCAGGGAGATCCTGGGCCTGGCCTGGGTACAAACAGATGCTAATGGGGCCAGAAGCACTTCTCCAGGACGGACTCTGGAGGCCGCAGACACTTGCCCAGCTTCTCACAGCCTGGGGGTGCCCAGTTCTAGGAAATGAGATTCAAGACAAGACCATCACTGCAGGGCCGGCATCTCTGGCCTTGGCTGCAGCTGGTGAGGGGTTTCAGATCCGCGTCCCTGCCCAGGCTGCAGCCCCTCCCCATCCACTTGGCTCTAGTGTGGGGACCACCTTCATCTCCACATCCGGGCAAGGGGATGAAGGGAGGGGCAAGGGCAATGACGACGGCCAGGGGCTGGAGGGCCCTGCTCAGCAGCAGAAAGCTCAGCATGGCCTCCTGGACCTCGGCTGCCCTGCACCCTGTGCTCGAGTCCCTTAAGGTTTGGGCTCATCCTGCAGCTTCGGAGGGCTGAGGGACCCTCCTTCCACCCCAAGAATGTCTGTGGGAGAGCAGGAGGGAAGCAGGTTTCCTCACAGCCCTGGGTGGGCGGTGCTCTGCTTGGTGCCCAGGGCCACCTGTGCATAGGGTAGGACCGCCCTTCCAAGGCACAGGGCTCCAATGGGCCGCAGCCCGATGGCTGTGTGTCAAACTCCGTGCAGCTCTGGAGCACACAGTACTGGCCGTGGTCTGCACGCACGCCGCTCACCATGACTGCCTGGTCGCACACGTTGAGCTGAGGCTGTCCAGGGACCAGGGTGTCCTGGTGCTGCTGGACCACCAGGGTGATCCTGCTGAGGGCATCCTGGTACTCTGTGCTGGCAAAGCTGAAGACAAGGGAGCCCAGGTCACTGAGGGTGCAGCTTCCTTGGCTCTGTCTGGGGAGGTGGCCTTGCTAGGAAGGGGATGGCTGGAAGGCCTGCAGTGCTGAGCTGGTCCCGGGCTAAGCAGGGGAAGTGGGTGGAGTGAGGGACCAGGAGACTGAGCCCTGGGATGAAGGCTGAGCAGGGAGCCCTACTGGGAGCAGCAAACATGGCTGTCCCCTGCTCTGCCCCGGCCAGGATGACCTCCTTGTGACCAGGGCCCTGGAGGTATGGGCTCCAAGGTATGTCAAAAGGTTGACGGGGAGATGCCAGAACCAGGTGCTGTGGAGACTCCCTGGAGACCAAGTCTTTCTGCCACTTTGTCATGCCTGTCATCACCAACATGCAGGTGACAAGTTGTGTGATGTGTTTCTCCCCCAAGAAATACAAATGGACACTGGAGCTGCCGCTTCACACGGGGAGCGTGACAGGTGAACTGTGGGAGCCCAGGGTGGGCAGATAGAGCTGGGGATGCAGGTGTATTCCCTGAGGCCCCAGGCTTGTCCACACCCATGTGCCACAGTGTCTGTGCTGTCGGCAAGATGCCTGTGGCTGAGTGGAGGGAACAGCCCTGTGCAGCACCCTGTGCCACAGTGGATGCCGGCTGCCTGAAGTTGCTGGGCGCACGCAGGCAGGCTGTGGGCAAAGCAGCCACAGCCTCTCTGCACCGGAACCCCACCCCTTCTCAGTCCCAGGGTGGCCTGTCCTGTGGGTGTGAGATCCTGCCCCCCTCCAACCTGTGCTGGGACCAGCCCCTCCAAGGGCGCCAATGCCAGCTTAAGTCCAGCAGCTGCCTAGGAAGGGACTCAGTCCCCTTAGGCCCAGTCATGCACTAGCGCCTGCCGGAATGGGCTAGGAGTGGCTTTTAGCACCAGGCCCTCCTTCCCACTCATGACCACAGGGGTCGTGGGCTGGGTCCTTAAAGGCTCCATTGGCCCCTAGAACCCGTGTTGGCCCACCCGGGCCATGCTGTCTGGCCAGTGCACGTCCCCCCCGTCCCTATGCCGTCTCGTCTCGGGAGGCAGGGTTGCTGAGGGGCATGTGGCTCTTCAGAGGACTGCATGGCCAAGTGCATCCCCAAGGACTTGAGGTGGCGGCTGTCACCTCCCACTGGAGCTCACCGCAGTGACTGTCTGAGGCCCATGCTGTCCTTCTCAGGGCACGCAGTTCCCCAGGGGAGCCGTGGGGGTGGGCTCGGCCATGGGGGAGGGACTGTGTGTCCCTCCACCGGGGCAACGACAGGAAAGGAACAGGTATGGACTGCGCTGTGCTGGATAAGGGTGGGGTGCAGGGCCATCGCTGTAATGAATGCTGACCTTTGGGTGCCCCCAGGTCCCCGTGGCCTGCTGGGGTATCGGGCACAGGTGTGGCCTGGGCTGGTGCACTATGGTTGGGGTCTGCATCCGACTCACCGTGGAGGCTGCTCCTTAGCGGCCCAGCTGTTGCAGACCACCTCCACATCCTCTGGCCCCACCAGCCCTGAGCTGCACCTCCCACGGGGGTGCTGGCCTTGAGGGGTCCGTGGGCACCAGGAGGAGCACCCAGCTTCCATCCTCCAGCACCCTGGGGCCTCAAGGAGGCCCCAAGTCTGAAGCCAGGGTGCATGGGGCACTCCCTCTGCAGCACTCAGAGGCTCCTTTCTCCTTCTTCCAGCCCCGCGGGGCCATCCCCTTCAGTGCCTCCTCTCCTGCCTGGACCTCGGGCACCCGATCCAGGATGGCCTCCTCTCCATTCACCTTAGTTACATGTGGAAAGTGTGACATGAGTCACACTGTGATGTGCTGGGGGGCGTGGACTTGGGGGGCCCCGTGCACCAGACCCTCTCTGCACGTCCTTCCTGTGGTCATCCTGGGCTTCAGAGCCAGTTGGGCTCCCGTGGAAAGGTGAGTGGTGTGGCCACGAGGCCCTGCGGACGGCAGCCTCACCTCCCATGTGGGGCCTGCAGAGCTGGGCTCAGCTGCCTGTGAGGGCGCAAGCCCTCGGCGTGGTCCTTTCCAGTGGCCTTAGTGCCATGCGGCCTTGGACCCGACTCCCATGGGCCCTACATGATTCCCTGTCTCGAGCAGGAGGCTGACTGGCTGTCCCCAGAGAGCACCTCAGAAGGACCAGTGGTGTAGAGACGCTGGAGAGCAACCAGGAGTCGCATGCACCCCAGTTCAGCCTTCTGCCAGGCCAGGGATGTCAGGGTCTCTGGCTCACACACGCCTAAGGAGCTGCTGGGGGGCCCTTCGTGGTGGAAGTGCCAGAGTCACCCTGCCTGTTGGTGACTGTGACCGGCGAGCCTCACTGTGAGGCTGGGATGGGGTTTTGGAGCCTGGGGACGGGAGCTCTGAGTGTCCAGTTACTTACCCAGTGAAGACCAGGCTGACCACCACCTGCAGCTGCTTCATTGCTGGGGCCTGGGCTCCAAAGGCCCCTCCGCCAGACCTAGGGTCAGTGGTCCAAGGGACGCACACACCCGTATGGGACACCTGGCCTCCACTGCTACCCGTGCCATCCCCAAGGTGGCTCAGAGCAGGGGACGAGTCACCAGAGGTTTGAACTACAGCCCAGGAGGGGGCAGGAGGCACGAGCAGCCACCAATGCTAGCTGGGGACCTGCTCCCCAGGGCAGTTGTGCAGTACAGGCCATCAAAAGAACACTGGGAGACAGCGCACAGCGGACTCACCTGAGCGGAAACCTCTCCCCAGGGTCGCGCCCCAGGTGGAAGACCAGAGGCAGCTTTGTGTGTTCCTCCTGGGTATGCGTGGTGACTCCTGAGATGTTCTGCCCGGGGCAGAAGTTGATGCCCTGCGATGAGAAGTGGGGGAGGTGGACGCCTGGAGCCTGTGCTGGGCACATGGGAAGCCCTGCCTGCAGTCTCCCCTGCACAGGGGCATCGCAACCACTCAGTGGTGCTCTAGGAGGACAGAGCATGTTGGGCAGGGTGGACTGTGCCATCCTGAGGCAGGAGCCCCTGCCCAGAGCTGCTCAGCAGGTTGGCCTCTTGTGCCCCAATTTCTGGGCCCCTTTATGGTGGAGGTGTCTGTAAAACATTTTAGCCAACCTCGCCTCTCCACTGCCACCGTCACAGAGGAGAGCACCTTTGATCACCCATGTGTGCCTGTGGAGGAGAGGATGAAGCATGACTGGGCAGGGAGGAGAAAGAGGGCTGTGTGAGAGCCAGGGGACAGCACCTGAAGGCGAGGATGCCAAAGGAACCGCACTCCGAGTATTTGGGAAGACAAAGTGGGCGGAAGAAACAGGTGACATGCTAAGATCCTCTTCAGGCTCCAACCTGCAGCACAGCCCTGCTCAGCACCCACCCAGGCAGCCCAGGCCACTGGGACCCCTGATGCCTGCATGGCAGGCCATGTGCATGACCCTGTGCACCGAGCTTTGTCTCTGCCTGCCAGGCTCCCTGATTTGGGATCCGGGACACCTCCAACAGCCCCAAGGCAAGCTGAGGGCAGGGCTGGTGCTGGCTCTGGAGGCTGGGAGCCCTGGGGCAGAGTTGGTGCCTGCAGGCCTGCCAAGGGTATGTGGTGTGGGTCTGCTCATCGTTTGGTCATGCTGACAGCTACCTGGGAGCAGTTTTTATTCTGCTTCCAATAAAGCTGGAGGTCAGACACCATGAAATTCCTGTCTGCACTGAGCTGTGGGCTCCTGCGGAGACTGGGCACACGGGATGGCACCAGTGCCCTCCCAAGCGCCCTGCTGGAGAAGTGCAAGGCCCCCATAGTGGGAGCCACCACCCACAGGATAAACCGTCAGGCAGTGAGAGCAGGGTCCAGGTCTAGATGAAGATGAGTGTGATTTGCATGCAAATCAAATAAGCTATGTAATTAAAGCCTGCCAACTGGCCCAGGCCGTTGCTTAAACTGCACTGAGGGGTGCCAGGCTGTCTGGCCACGATGTACCTCCTATGGAGAGGCTCACTGGGTGGTGCCCGGTCCCAGAGCAGGGGGGACAGGCGGTGGCTGGGGGCCAGGTGCTGACTCAGAGGCGGGGTGATAGGGAGGGATGCAGGCAAGGAGTTCAGAGGCGGCATGGCTGGGTCCAACATCCCCCATGTGTTACGCACTGTCATGCAGCACTGCCTGGGTCTTCACACAGGCCACGTGGGGTGGGACCGCCACTCACCGCCGGGCAGTCACCCGGACAGAAGAGTGGATGTCCCTGCAGGGTCAGCACCATGACACTCGCACGTGTGCGGTGAGACCGCAGCACTAGGACCCCAGGCCTGCGGGCAGGACAGTACCCACACTGCCCACAGCAGGGACAGAGACCCCAACAGCTATGCAGGCTGAGTGGACTGGGCGCCAGGAGAGGGTCTGGAGCAAAAAGGGCCAGGAGGGCAGGGTGGTAATGGGAGGCTGTGATCTCCAGCAGCACATCAGGAACTATGTGCCCACTGCAGTTCCCCAGGTGGTGCCAGCTGTAAAAGGAAGGACCTGACCTGGGTGCCAGGCTGGCACCCCCGTCCCCCACTGGGAGCCTCTCCTCAGCTCTCACCAGCACCAGCCAAGGAGGGAAGGGATGCAGGACCTAGCAGTGGGTGGGCGGTGAGGGCTGGGTCTGAGGGGTGGGCTTCTCCGGACACCTCCACCTCAGACACACCCAGGCCTGTAGCGTGGCTCTGCTGAGGAGCCTCCAGACCTCTGCAGATGTGGCAAAGAGCCTTCCCAGGTGAGTCTGGCAGGAGCTGGGTAGGTGTCCCTGCCCCTCAGAGGCCAAAGGGACAGAGCAGCTACCATGTTCCCAGTCACAGGTCCCAGGGAGGGACCCACACAGCCCTGACAGGCTTCAAACCACCCAGACCCCAGAGGGCCCAGGGACAACACAGGAGTCACAGATGAGAGGCAGAGGGTGTCTGCCTGCCTTAATCACTTGAAGGCTCCTTCCACCCCCTGAGCACCCAGAGGCAGGATAGCGCCCATGGGGCTGATGAGGGCCTGGGGAGACTGCTCAGGCAGGCAGGAGGGCAGGGGCAGTGCCCTGGGCACATCCGAGGCCCTTGGTCCTGCCCATGGTGCCTCCAGCCCCAGCCCCACAAGTAGCTCCAGTCTGTCTTTTACATGATCCCCCACCTGGCTCCCTACCCAGACCCAGGCCTGGCCCCGCCCCACCCAATTTAGCTCCTGGGCCGGTTTGCAATGTACTTCCCCACTAGTTCAGAGTGTTCTACTAGTTAGATTTCTCATTAACTTAAACTGATTTACTGCTCCATTAAGGCAAATTAGCAGGGTTTTTATGTTATCTAAAGGCCTTAAGCCAAGGGGCTGGGTGGGGTGGGCATGGGAGGGAAGCTCCCTGTTGGCCCAGGTGGTGGAGGGGCAGGGGCACCCTGGCTGCACCTGTGATGTGGACTCTGGTGACCACCTAGGCCACCAGGACCTGGCCCCAGCCAGGTCAGCCCTGGCCCTGCAGTCCGGGTCCCCTGCAAGGGGCAGGACGTCCCTGCAGCGACCCCACCCCATCCTAGCAGCTTCAGATACCCTGGACACACACTCTGTAGGTGCCCCAGCCCTACTCTGGACCCCGCTGCACCCTGGGCCCACCACAGACGTGTCCCTGCTCAGGACAGTGGGCCAGGGTAGACAGAGGCGCCAGCCACCCTCTCCCAGGACCTGCACCCCAAGCCCTGTACCTGTCTGAACTCCTCCCAGGAGTTGGTCCAGGTCCAGAAGTGGGCCTTGTGCTGCCCGAGGGTGACAGCCATCAGGGTGTTGCCACGGTAATAGAGTATGGGCCTGTGGGCCGGGAAGGGAGGGTCGTGCTGGCGTCCAAGCGTGGGGCTCGGTGGCTGCGTGGCTGGCAAGCCAGGTTTCAGGTGACATTTTACAGACCACTGGCAAACGGGGTGTCCCCAGATACAGCAAGTGGGCTGGAGGTGCTCAGGGCAGATCCTGCTCACGTGTGCCAGGTCCTGGGTTCCGCCCCGGGACTCTCCCAGCAAAGGAGAAAAGGAGGCGGAAGATGAGGCTGTGGGGCTTGGTCCCGGAGAGGCAGAGCTGGACTCGGGGAGGCCGGGTGCCCAGCACCTTCTCTCCTCAGCGGTAACTGAGCTCTTGGGCCAGGGTTCAAGACAAAATAAGCAATTTTGGAAAAAAGGGCCAAACTCCCCTGCATGCCTCCCCCAAACCAGAGGCCCCACAGGGAGCTCTCTGTGCTCCAACTTCTGTTACTGTGTTTGGCTTTCGGAACCTATGCCCCTGGGAGCTGCCCAGAACTTGGTTTGTATGAGTAAGACGGTGGTGGACATGGGTGGAAAGAAGGTGATCTGCAAAAGGGAGCATCGGGTGGGCTGGGCATGGGGCAGATGTGCGTGCGTGTGTGAGACGTGCGAGTGCATACACACACACACACACACACGCGTGGTGCTGGCGGTCTCCCTCTGCTCTGTGCAGACACAGCCGTGGGTACCAGGTGGGAGGGCTGGGCCAGAGGCATGTGTCATTGGCACCTACCTATCTGTCAGCTGGCCCTGCAGCAAGGCAGGGAGGAGGCTGAAGCCATCAATCACCCTGTCTCTGGGGGGCTTCAGGCCCGCAAGGGCCAGGCTGGTGGTGAAAAGGTCCATGATGCTGCCCAGCTGGTGGCTCACCTGCAACGGACAAGGCCAAATCACTGGAGACTGCAGCCCGACCAGGCCACCCAGCAGGTCCACACTCAGGCAGCCACGGGCTACATGCCCAGGGTCAGGCTCTAGTGGAGCCACAGAGCCCATGGGAGCCAGTGGGCCTGGGGGCACAGGACAGGGTTCTGCGCTGGAGCTGCCACAAGAGGGCCCATGCTGCCATCCAGCTGCCATCCCCAAGTGTGCGGGGGCCTCAGGCTCCCCACCTATCACTGTGGAGGGGAAGGGTGGACCCCAGCAGGGAGCAGCACCCCCAGGAGGTCAGGAAGGCCAGGGAGGAAGGGCAGTGGGCACGCACATGGTGCCAGGCTCAGGACCCGTGCTTGTGGGGTGACGGACAGGCCAAGCCTGTGCAGGGGTGGACGCTAAAGCCAGGCCAGGCCAGGGAAGCGGGAGAACACACACCTTGCCCACCACTGTCTCCAGCACACCTGTCCACAGATCACAGCCTGTGGCTGACAAGTCCTGTCCCTCAGGAACACTGCACCCACAGCCACCGGCACCAGCCACCGTGGCGGTCCTGACTCACCTGGCCAGGAGGGATGTGCCTGGGCCACCACGCAATTGCAGGCTCCCTCATGCCACCTTCAAAGGTGGTCTGCTTCCCGCACAGGAAGGGGCCATTGCTGCCACCTGGGGAGCCATCACCCATTAGCCCAGCCCATCCTGCTTCCCGTCCTCCTTTCTAGGGCAATGCCAGAGTCGAGACCCATGGTGGGGACAGAGCCAGGTCTGGGTCTTGGTGAGTGCTAGGGCTCCTGTGTGGAGGCTCTGGCTGCAGGTTCCCAGGGAACAAGGACCTTGGCCCCTATGGAGATGACTCAGGCCCCTCTCCCCCATGACAGGGTTCCAGCCAGCAGTTCCTGGGTCCTTGTGCCCTTGTGGAAGGTCCAGTGAATGCAGCCAGCCCTAGTCCCGTCCTCATGGCCCCTGGGGGTCCCTGATGCAAAGGCCCTGCCTGGCGCCCTCATCGTGGAGGCTCCCTACGTGGTTGCTCCTGGACCTCAGGCACCTGCCTTGGCTGGGAGCAGAGACAAGGGCAGCACCATTGTCTGAGGTGAAGAAGACGAAGGTGCTCTCCGCAAGGCCCAGGACCTGCAGCAGGCTCAGCATCTTCCCGACACTGTCATCGATCTCCCGCACCGCATCCCCATACCTGTGGATGCGACAGCCCATCAGGCAGCAGGATGCCTGGGGTATCACAGAGTGCCAGGGGCAGGCCGGCCTCGCCAAGGTGGGGACCAGGGTGCCTGTGGGGCAGGACCGACCGAGAACACCACCTGGCTCTCGGGAGCTCCTGGGGCAGCACCCAGGCCTGGCCCTGTCCTCTGAGCCCGAGGCCACACTGCTCTCAGCACTTACCGCCCACGCTGGCTGCTGCCCAGGAAAGGCCGGGAGGCGTACACAGGAGCATGTGTGGCATCCACTGCCCAGTAGAGGAAGAACGGGCGTCGTGCTGCCTGCTGCCGCTTGATGAAGTCCAGGGCTTCCTGGGGGGTACTGCCCATCACTGTCTGCCCCGTGTCCCACCCAGCCCCTCCCATCTCCGCCGAGTCCCCCTCCGTACCCACCTAGCCCCTCACCTGTAAGTAGATCTGGGTGAGGTTGGATTCCCCAGTCTTCACGTTGATTGGGAATTCTTCATAAAATCTGAAAACACGGTCCAGACAGAAACCAGAATTCAGCCACAAAGGCCCCTTCTGATGTCCCTGCGAGGTCACAGGCCTTGTTTAGGAGGTGGAAATGTTTCTTTTGAGGGACAAACCCAGCTGGAAGCCTCCTGCTCCTGGACGCAGGTCCTGTCAGAGGCCTGCACGTGGGGACAGAGCTCTTGCTACCAGGCCAGGGTGGCCGTAGCCGGGGTAGAAATGTCCAGAACTGACTGGGGCAGTGGTTGTGCGACTCCTGGACGCACTGAGGCCCTGGACTGCACACGGGCAGGTGGGGAGCTGCATGCGTGGGAATTACACGGCAGAAAATCTGCTCATGTTTTGCACTGCTGGAGCTGGAACTTGGCCTCGCCAATGGGTGCTCAGCAAATGCTATACCACTGAGCTGCATGCCCACGCCCTTTCTTTTTTATTTTGAGACAGAGTCTTGCTAAATGCCCAGGCTGCCCTTGAAATGAGGATCTCCCTGCCTCCATCTCCTGGGTAGCTGGGAGAACAGGCTTGTGCCATCATGCCTAGCTTGAAGTTTTTAGATGAAGTTTATAGAAAGAGAGGGGGGGAGGAAATAAATGTTAAAGCCAACAACTCGGGAGATGTGGGCCACAGTGCAGGCCTGATGCTGCAGGTGCCCACTCCAGGCCACCAACTGGGTCCCCTGGGCCAACTTCCCTCCTGCCCTGATCAGGCTGTTCCCTTTGCCCTCTCTGCATGTGCAGGCCATGGCCCACAGGCCTCCTGGGGCACACCTGTGGCGGGCAGCAGAGGGTCCCTGGCCTCTGAGCCAAGGGTGAAGCTGTGCAAGCCCTTCCCAAAGAGCTCTCTGACCCCACAGGCTGGACCTGGCACAAGGCCGAGGCCTGGGCCCCGGGCAGGACTCCCGGAAGCCAATGCTCTTGGTGCCCAGGATATGAGCATGTGGCAGTGGCTCAGGTCCTGCCCTCCGGCTGCCAGCTGGGGGACAGGGCAGGGCGAACGTGTTACCTGCCGACCATTTCCCAGTCCTTATACACAGGGATGTTGGGCTTGGCCTTGTTGTCATAAGGTCCAAAGTGACAGTTGGGTGATCCAAACCACTCATCGAATCCGTGCTTCAGGGGGTGGAACTGGGGCCTGTGACCCAGGTGCCTAGAAACAGGAACCGGCGCTTCAGGCACCCCACCCGGGGACACTTTCCCTCACAAGTGTTTAACAAACAGGACCCCAGCTCCAGGTGTGTGCGAAGCCCTGGTTGCACGATGTGGAAAGCCCGACCCCAGCCCAGAAGAAGGTGCTGGAACCCACCGCGCTGCCCAGGCTGAGTGGCAGGGCCAGGGTGTCTGGGCACAGTGAGGCTGGGGTGTCCCTCAGGTGATGAGTGGGGAGGGCATTGGAGGATGGTCTCGGGGCGAGATCTTCCAATGCCACCAGCCCTACAGACCCCACGCCAGCCAGACTACCCAGGGCCAGCAGCCTCTCAGGGACCCAGAGGCTGTGCCGTGCATTTCCTGAGGTGTCCTGCAGGAACTGACACAGTGTCACTTCCAGGAAGATGGCAGCGGTGAGCAGTGGGCCATTGGCAGCTCTGACTGTGGCTGCGCTCAGGTCCCTAGCCTGGCTGTGAGCTGCAGCTGGGCAATCCCAAGACAGCAGCATGCCCATGCCAGACAGTGCAGGAGCCATGCAGGCAGAGGCTCATGTGCTGAGGTGCGAGGGGCCACTAGGTTCCCCCACTGCAGATGTCTGGCATAGCTCTGGGCGCCCCTGCCAGACCGCACCCCACTTCACAAACCCCTTCTCTTTTGGGGACACCTACTCTCATGGCCTCCCTCCACCAGCAGGCAGAGAAGGGGAACGTAGGCTTCAGTGGCCTTGAGCAGGGCCGGTTCCATTCTGGGGGCACCTGGCCTCCTGGTCTTCAGAGCAGTGTGGCTTCCAGCAGTGGGTGAGTCACCACCTGCGGCAGCCCTCACCTGCATGTGCAAGTTCTGCACACATGTCCCACGAATGCTGGCAAAAGCTACTGCTTGGAAAACAGCAACAACAGGGCCGGGGTCCCTTTGCGAACTGCATGGGGACCTTGGTGGCTGCAGTGGGAGGCCTCGCCCTAACATGCCCAGGACCCTGCACTGGGCCGCCTGGGTCACAGGCCTCCACATGTTCACAGTCATTCAGCGGCCAGGTCATGGGAGTGGTAGGGAAGTTGGGCTGCAGTGGGAAGAACAGGCTCGGCCCGACCCTCTGTGCTTCAGGTAAGCTCTCCATCTGGACTTGGTGTCCTTGCTCTAGGGGAAGAGCCTGGCTGAGGGGTGGGCTGCTCCAAGGTGCAGAACCTGCCCGGGGCTCTGGAGCTGGATCTCTGTCTTCCCACCCTGCCAGGTCCGGGGTCCCCCCGGGTCCTCTGCATCTCAGGGGCCTTCAGGCCCTGCCACAGTGCCCAGCCCTCCCTGGCAGCTCGTGGCTGTCCAGTCACGTGTGGCCTCCTGTGTGTCTGAGTCCAGCAGCACACAGGCCTCTGCGTAGGATAAAGTGAGTTGGGGTCCTGCTCGGGTAGAGGTGTAGGCCAGCGCACCTGCCCTAGACAGGACAGAGCCAGTGCCAGCCAGGCTTGCCACATGGGGCTTCGGGAAGGCCGTGTTGCCCTGAGACCTGGCTGAGGACGCTGCATCCTGGGTGGTGATATCAGGGCACCCCAAGGGAGGACATCAAGCCAAGGTGACAGGGCCTGTGGAGATGGGGACCCCTGGCTGAGGAGCAGCTGGCCCTGTCCTGACACCCTTGTCCCACGTCCACAAGTGCCCCTGCTCCAGGCATGCTCAGCTCCTGCTTCCTGGTCACAGCTCTCCTGCACCCACAGGCCTTAGCACCTGAGTCAGTACTGTGAACCAGAGGCTGTGGGCCAGGGCAGAGCTGCCAGGCACCGGGCACAGAGCTCTGGTCCCCGTAGATGGCACCTCGGGGCCTGGTGCAGTCCTCAAGTCTCCATGTGGCTCCCTGGGCCCCCCGCCAAGAGGACCTGCAGCCCAGCGTGTCTGGCACCTCTGCTCTGCCACATCTCCTGGTCACAGCTCAGCTTGGCTGGAAGCTCCTCCTTGTCCCCAAGAAGTCTCCAGCTGCCTGGATGTTCCTATGGTTGCCCTTCAGGAATCAGCAGATTCCTCACAACTGTCAACAGCTGTGGAGAAGCTGTCCCAGAGGGGAGTGAGGGGAGGCATAGGGAGCAGGCTGCTCGCAGAGGGTGGGGCTGGGGAGGACCCCTGGGCACAGGTGGGAAGAGCCCCTACGGCCATGCCTTCCACACCCGAGGCCCCAGGGAGTAAGGGACATCTGCGGCTGCAGCAGGAAAGCGTGGCCAGAGATCACCTGCTGTGCCGTGAGACTCGGCCAGCGCCCTCCTCTTAGCCGAGTAGCTTTCCCCCAGCCTGCACCCTCTGTGCGCACGGCGCCGTGTGCAGTAATGTGGCAGCCCTACAGCAGAAGGCCTTGAGCATAGGACGAGTGGAGGCCGAGACATGCCACACAGAGCTCGATCTGCTCAGCCACCGAGCAGCCCTGCAGGGCTGCGCCTGACCTTGGCTGCCACCGTGGGCCTGGACCTCGGGATCCACACGCAGCCAGCAGGCCTTGCTTCCCACTCACCACTTGCCCACGATCTTGGTGGCGTAGCCAGCCTCTTTCAGGAGTGAGGGCAGGAGGCGCTCTGAGTCGGGGATGCCGCCCACTATTTCCTGCGGGGTGTACGCTGGAAGGGTGAGGCCACGCGTGAGCACCTGCCCGCCCCTCATGGCCACCAGGCAGAGCGTGGCTGGGACACGGGACATCCACACAGCCCTCTTAGGGTTCCTGCACCCCTCCAAGTCAGCACACGCCCAAGGGGAGGGCGAACTGTGCCCCGGCCCCTTCCAGGCATTCTGCCGCTCTGCCTCCTGCCCCAGCCTGGCAGCAGCTCACTGCCCAGCCCCACCCCTTGCCTCTTCTCAGGGCCCCTGAGTCCCATCTCATCTGGGAGACGTCCCTAGAAGGCCCATCCGGGCTCTCAGCACTGCTTCCAGAACATTCCGTGCTGAGACCTCCGACCGCCTGGCTTCCTTAGGTCTCTGCCACCCCGGGAGACTGTGAAGTCCCTGAGGAAGGGACACCCCTGTCTCCAGCCAGGCTGGGCAGTGCCTGGGGAGCAGGGTAGGGTGGGGGGGTGCTGGGGGGGGTGCCCCAGCCTTGTTCCCCTGCTGAAGGCTGTTTCCGGTGTACAGCTGGGATGGGTCCTCAGACAACCTCAGGCTAGAAGCCAGGGTTTGTACAGCGAGGCCAGGGTGGTACAGCTGGCTCTCCCCTCCCTGCACCCCATTCCAGCCACGGCTGGACCCCAGGACGCAGAGGGCCAGCACCTACCATTCCTGGCGTGCGCATTGGTGGTGTAGAAGCCGTTGCGGATGGGCAGCCGTCCACTGAGCAGGGCCGCCCTGGCTGCAGGAGGCGACAAACAGACACTTTGAGGACATGCCTGGTGGGACCTCAGCCAGCTCTGGAGCACCTCACACACAGCTCCTGTGCTGCCGAGGTCATGCGGGTATACGTGGCATGGGGTCCTGGGCTTTCCATCCCCTTGGCCTCTCATCCCCAGGGTGTGGGGAGAACTTCCTGCTGACTGGAGGTGCCCTTGTTACACACAGCTCAGCCCTGTCTCAGACCCGGGCCCAGCTCTGCAGGGAGTGGGACAGCCAGCCACTGTGCTGCACACAACACATGGGTCAGTGCAGATCCCTCACAGGCCTGTGGCCTTTCTCCAGGTCACCACTTCCCTGGCAGGAGGGACTCTGGGGAGCAGGGGCGGCTACTCCTCTGGGAGAGAGGACCGGGCAGCCGCCAGTGCAGCAGGTCCACCTGGAGGGTCCCAGACAGGCCCAGGTAGCCGCACCCTGCCAGGCTGGAGGCGGGGTGGAGAGGACGGATGTGGGGCCGGTGCCCTGCTGGCTGGCCGGGTCCCCGTGGGCAGCAACACTGACTTACACGGCGAACACAGGGGGTTGGCAGAGTAGAAGTTGGGGAACAGCATCCCCTCTGCAGCCATGCGGTCCAGGTTCGGGGTCTCTCTGGAGGGCTCTCCGTACACCCCCAGGTCACCCCACCCCATCTACAGGGAAGAGCATGGAGATGTAGAGTGAGACCCTTTGGCACGTGGCACTTCTGTCCTGGGGGACTGACTATGTCCCGCACACCCAAGCGAGCCACTTGGGCCGGGCTGGCCTTTGCTCCATCCGGGTGGGCTGCCCCTGGGGGAAGCGTCCGGCCTCCTCACTTCCCACGACCTCTGCACGCTCCAGCACGCGCAGATGTATCCAAAGTCAGACCTCCAGAGCAGGTAATGAGCTCCCTGCCCAGCCTCGGGCTTGGACCAACCCTCGTCACCAGATGGTGACAGACAGACCCATGTGCACTGCGACCCTGAGTTCACGCCCACTCCTTTATTTGGAAATAGGGCCTTTGTGGGTGTAAAGCTTTGTGATGGGGTCACACTGGGTCAGGGCAGCAACGTCCCCTGAGGAGACTATGGAGACAGATGTGCTGGGAGGGCCTCGGGGAGGCAGGAGGTTGGGGGGGGCTCTGCCACACGTTGCTCCCCAGCACCTCGGCAGATGCCCTTGTGTTTTAGGCAAACCACCTTGTGGTAATCTGCGATGCCTCAGGAAACGAACACACATGCTGTGGAATAGTACTCAGTCATAAAGAGGAACGGCATGGACTATCCAGGAAAGACAAAGCCATGGAGACAGGAAGGAGGCTGTGCTTGTCGGTGGCCAAAGGGTGGGTAGGGAAGTGGTTTCTAGGGGAGGTAACAGATAGACCCAACTCTGTGGCAGCTGCACAGCTGTGCGACTGCACGCCATCCCTGGGTGATGGGGCCCCAGTGTGGGGTTATACAAAGGAGAGTATGGGCACCCTGGTCTCCTGCATGGGGGCCTCAGCGGGTGGCAGGCTCTCTGGGGCCTGAAGGCGCTGGCTTTCTGTGCTCATTAGGTTCTAGTGGGTCAGTGAGCAAGACAACTCAGGGTGCAGGGAGGTCAGGGTCCCCGGGGCCAGGTCGGGAGGCTGGGCCCAACAGTGTTCCAGGAGAGCCGGCCGTGACAGCCAGCAGCCCAGTCTTTGTCCCAGGCCTCCAGGAGCGGACTGAACGCAGGTGAAGATGTTTCACAGTACCAGGCTCAGTCGTCAGCCCTCACCACTGGGAAGCAGGGAGGGTGGAAACCCACGGTCTGAGGAGCCACAGGTCACCCGCAGGTACTCGAGGCCGTGGTTCCCACAGAGAAAGAGCAGGCAGCAAAGCCAGCCTCGGGGGTGCACATGGGAGGCCAGGAGACCAGGGCCACTTCCACAGCTCTCTGAGGAGTCCACGGGAGCTCACTTCCTGGGGCATCGAGTGACAACACGTATGCGTGGTGTCAACAGGAAGTTGGTGAAGAGCTAGGGGCAGGGTTTCTATAGGAGGTGGTCATGGGGAGCCTCTGCCTGGCAGGTGGCAAGGTTCCTGATGCCCAGGAGGAGGGCAGGTGTCCTCATAAGTCACAATGTCCATGCCCAGAAGCCGTTCCAACCCCGGGATGGAGGGGATGCACCCACAACCCCCGGGCCCGGATGCCAGCCAGTGCAACCTGCTCTCCAGGCCCTTTCTGGGGACAGCAGTCCCTGGTTGCCTGTTGAACTCCTTTCTGCTCAACCCCTATTCCTGTTACTTGATGGCTTTCTTAGCCATAAAAATGGGGATGCTACTGTCCCTGTGCAGGGGTTAAAGACTGACTACCTACTGTGGCCTGCCCAACCCCTTGGAGAGTGAAGCCTTCCCCTCCTGTCAAAAGTTCCACTCAGTGGTTCCGCTGCCTGCATCGAAAGCGCAAGGTCCGGAGTTAGAGCCACAGTACCAAAGAAAAAGTTCCAAAGAGGCTGGGGATGTAGCTCAGTGGTGCCGCACCCGCCTCGCAAGGTCCTGAGTTTGATCCCCAGTTCCAGGAAAAAAAAAATTCCAGAGCCAGGTGAGGAGACGCCCAACCATAATTCCAGTTACTACAAGATCATGAATTCAAGGCCAGCCTGAGCAACTCAGCAAGACCGGTTCAAAAATAAGTCTAGGGGCCAGAGATTTAGCTCAGTGGTTCTGGCACCTGCCTTGCAAGCGCCAAGGTCCCCAAAATAAATAAATAAATAAAAGTCTAGGGATGTAGCTCAATGGCAGAGGGCTGGCCTAGCATTCAGGAGGTTCATTCAGGAGGTTCAATCTCCAGCACTGCAAAAAAGAAAACTGCCAAAGACCCGCAGATGATTGCCTACACTCAGCAGGAGAGAAGGGAGGCTGTGGCCATGAGTGATGACCCCTTTCTGCCTGAGGCCCTGCCTTTTGGTTAGGGTCAGCATCCGCTGAGATGTGTGTGAGACTCTAGTGTCCTCCACATAAGGAACAGACACCACATACTCTGACTCTCAGGTTGCCCCAGGCTTGAGTGCAGTGGTCCGCTGGGTTTCCTGAATTCGCCCAACAAGCCCCACCACGTGCATGGGCTCTGAGGACACTTGATGACCAGACCTCGCCACCCCTGTCCTGGCTGTTGATGGCACTGTAATTTCACCACCCCCTGGAGTCACTGTGGCCAGCAGCCGAGTAGGCCTTGCAGCGCACTAGCTTTGGGGACTCCCTTTCCTGCAACATCCTCTAAGACGGAAGGGCCGGCCTGGCTAGCGCTGCCTGGACCGAAGAGAGACCAGGCCATGAGCAGCCAGGTCACGGTGGGCAATGGTCCCTGCACAATCTGAGCTAGAGACAGTGCGTCCTCCACGGGTGCTGGGCCTGCATGGGCCAAAGCCATGGCGCTGCCTGTTCCAGGTCCAGACACCAGATCCTGGCAGAGGCAGCTGGCCTGATGGGCAGGACAGTTTGTGGTCAGGGAAGGTGGCCTGAGGCCTTCCACATGCTGAGGCCACACACTGTCAGCTGCCACATGGAGCGCCTGCCTGCACCCTGGCCAGGTAAATCAGATAAACCCAGATGGCCTCCTCAGCCCGGGTAGCCCTTCTGGGAGTGGGCCCCGGGGACCAGTCGGCAGGTCAGCAATCTCCCCTCCACACAGGGTGCCAGGCTGATGGACTTGGTGTGCTGGGATAGCTGCTGTCCCGCTAGGTCGGCTCACTGAGGATGGGTGACCCTGAGTCACTTGGCGCTGCCACAGGGCAATGATGCATCACCCCAGGGCCAGACTAGGAACAGCAGAGCTATGAGCCCTGGAAGACTACGCAGGGCCAGCCTGGTCTGTCCTGTCAGGGGGGGCCAGAGAATTCTCCACACCCTCCCCTTTTTGGTGGTGCAGGGGATGGAACCCAGGGCCTCACACATACTGGGCAAACGTTCTGCCACTGGGCTACATCTTCAGGCCTTTTGATTTTTTGTTCTGAAATGGAGTGTCACTAAATTGCTGAGGCTGGCCTTGAATTTGTGATCCTCAAGTGTCAGTCTTCTGAGCAGCTGGGATTACAGGCATGCACTGCCACGTCCAGCAAGGAATCCTTGGCTTCACTTAAATTCCTTTGAATGGGGCTGGGCATTTAGCTCAGTGGTTTTGCCACCTGCTGCGTAAGCACAAGGACCCAAGTTCGATCAACGGTACCAAAAAAACAAAAAAAACAAAAAAAACATTACTTTGAGTTTGAGTTCATTTCCGGAGATTTGAATAAAAAAGGTTTTTTCTATTTTTCTTTTTTCAGTACTGAGGATTGAACCCAGGGTCTTTGCACTGAGCTCCATCCCGGCCTGTTTTTATTTTTTTATTTTGACTCAAAGTCTCCCTATACATTGCCTGGGCTGGGCTGGGTTACAGGTGTGCACCGCCGAGGCCAGGAAACAGTTCCAAGTTTCACTCACCTGGCCAGGAATCCTCCAGGGCTCTTGGGTGTCAGCCCCTAAGAACGCTACAGGAAAGGGCGGGCAGCACAGCCCCTCTGGCCCCACCCCAGGGCCCCCAGGCTGAGGGTGTCACTCTTCTGTAGGGGAAAACTCCACCCCGAACCACCTGCTCCAAAACTGCTGTCCAGCGGAAATGCTCCGTGAGCCCCGGGGAATTTTACATTTTCTGGTAGCCACAGTAGAAATGTAAACCGGGAAGGCCTGGCTGCACAGCTACCCTGAGGTGACACTGCACCTGCAGCCCCTCCTCCTCCTCTTGGTCCCAGCCCGGAAGACCAAGGGGTCCAAGTGAGAAAGGGCTGCTCAGGGTTGGGACCAGGGTTAGGGTCACGGTCACGGTTGGGGTTGGGTTACTGGTTAGGATTGTGGTTGGGGTCACGTGGTCTGGGTTGGGGTGGGGTCACGGTCGGGGCTGGGACCAGGGTTAGGGTCGTGGTCGGTGATGGGTCAGACAGGGTCATGGTTGGGGTCAGGGTCAGGTTTAGGGCTAGCCCCCCCACAAGCCGCCGGCGCCCGCACTCACGTCGTCCATGAGCAGCAGCAGGATGTTAGGGGGCTGCGGGGCGCCCAGGGCCACAAGCCCCGCGGCGCTCACCAGCAGCAGCAGCCGCCACCCCCTGGGCACCACGACCGCGGCCTCCATGGCCATCACGGGAGCCGAGCCGAGGAGAGGGGGGCTCGGGGCTTTTCCGGCCGGCCAGGGGAAGGGGCCCCGCGCTGTGACGTGAGGGGGCCGGGCCCTGGCGCCAAGCGACAGGAACGGCGGGCCCGGAAAGGCTGAGTAACGGCTGAGCGAGACCTGGGCCCGGGGCGGGACAGGTAGGCGGGGCCGGAGCCGCTGAGTGAGGGGTGGGCGGGGCCACAGCGAGGGCGCGGGATCTGGTGCCCCGCGATGAGAGGCGGGACCTGGGTTAGCCACGTGACGGCCGGGACGGCGCGGAGTGGTCACGTGACGCTACGCGCGGCCGGCCAAGATGGCGGTGTGCATCGCGGTGATCGCCAAGGAGGTGCGTGTGGATGGGCGGCGGAGGGCGGGTGTGCGATCCTCCCTGCCCGGCCCGCGGGACCCCGCCCTGTCCACGCTTCCTCGCGTCCCCTCCTTCCCGGCCCCAGGTTCCTAAGCCTGGCCGAGCCAGGATCCGGGCCTCGCTGCCCCCCTGTCATCCCGGAACTCATCCCCGCCCTGGGACCACCGGACAGATGCCTGGGGCATGGGAGCCACTCCGCGCTCCGCCACTTTGCAGCTGTTCCTCCCGCGGTCTCCGCCAGCTTCTGCATTTCCATCTCTATCCATGGCCCACTTTTGTCCCGAACGGTCCCGTCCTCTCCTGCCCGAGAGTTCAAAGAACAAATCATGGCGCACCTCTGCCTAAAATGTGTCCAAGGGCTTCTGATTACCTCAGGATAGTCTAGTTAACGGCCCCCTCCCCTCCGCAATTCCGCTTGCACCTGCCTTCTCTCTACCAAGGCCTCCCCACCTCCCTGCATCACGTGCCAGCATACATTTCCAGCTCCGAGGCCGGCTATCTGCTCCTGCTGCACGGAGCGTTTCTTATCAGGTTCTTTTCTGAGAACGGAGACAATCAGGAACCTATGGGTGTGACGCTCCTCATGGGCTTTGAGCACAGCTGCAGCGGAGCGCTAACAGGTGCACCTCCTTAGGATGGGGTTCTGCCCCCACAAACCCCGCATAAGTTGAAACTATAAGTCAGAAATGCATTTAATACCTGGATAAACTCATGGTAAAGCATCGTATGTGAACCATTCTAGATTGGGGGCTGTTTGTATGTGTTTGCCAACCTGCGGACCAGGTACTTTCCTGTCCCAGCACCTGGGGACACATCATTCACAGATGTCAGTGTGCCCAATCTGGGCAGGCATGGTGAATTGTGGCATGTAGGAGGCTGGGAGGAAAGCTGTTCATTCTGGGGGTCAGGATGATTAGATGTGCAGAGATGGGGAGGCTTCAGCTGAGTCTCGAGCTGAGGAACAGGACCACTGGGCTTGGGGGTGGTACTGTGCTAAGATGGTCCCACGTAGTGGCCGAGGTAGCTGGGCCAGAGGGCTCAGGAAGGTCCCAGGAGATGGCCCACTGGTCAGCAAATAGCACATGAACTTGCTTAGATGAGATGGGCCCACAAGGAGTGCCTGAGGGGAGGTGGAGAGTTAAGTGTGGATGTCACAAAAGAGGGTCCTTTCTCAGAATGGTTGGTGGGTATGGGCTGCCCTCTGGCACTCTGTACTGTTCAGAGCCAGTGTGTCCTGTCCTTTGAGTTGCTGTCATCCTTTCTTGCAGAACTATCCTCTCTACATCCGCAGCACCCCCATGGAGAATGAGCTCAAGTTCCATTACATGGTGCACACATCCCTGGACGTGGTGGATGAGAAGATCTCTGCCATGGGGAAGGCCCTGGTGGACCAGCGAGAGCTCTACCTGGGCCTGCTCTACCCAACAGAGGACTACAAGGTGTATCTTCCAGAGTCTTAGCATGATGCTGTAATGGCTAGGCATGGTGGCACGTGCCTGTAATCCCAGCACTTGGGGCGCTGAGCCAGGAAGATCGCTTTGAGTTCAAGGCCAACCTGAACTACACAGTGAAACCCTGTCTCACTGCCGCCCCCAACCTGAAAATAACTTGAAAAGGGAAAAAAAGTGAAGGTTTTCAGCAAGCCACGGAATTGGGGATGGATTGAAGCTAATGAAGACTTCTAAATCTCATTTCCCTTTAATTGGGAGACTTGAGATACACAGGGCTTGAGTTCCGTGGAGAATGGGAATATATTCGAGGAGGAACTGAGGCTTCCTTGCTTTATATTTGTAAGGATGTCTTCCTGTGGTTTTCAGCTTTTCAGGGGCCATTGGTTTCAAGCAAGGACAGTTGTTTCATTCGTTTCTTGTTAGGTCTTTTTTTTCAGGTACTGGGAATCAAACTCAGGACCTTGTGCTTGCCAGGCAGGTGCAGCACCACTGAGCTAAATCCCATCCCTTTGTTAGGTCTTTATTGTTGGGTTGTCATCATTGGAAACCCTTGGGCAGTCCCTGTGACAATCACTTGAGGTTATGGAATTCAAAGACATTCCCATGGGCAGTAATGTAGTTTGTCCATGGTGATTGTCTTAGTCACTTTTGTTGCCGGGACAAAATACCCAAGACCCAGCACTTAAGGAGGAAAGGTTTATTTTGATTCAATTTGTAGAGGTTTCAGTTCATAGTCCACTGGCTCCCGGGTAGGATGGCCTGGCAGAGGGGCGTGGCAGGGGAGAGTGGCTCAAGGCATGGTGGTGGAGAAGCAGAGATCAAGGGAGGAGGGAGGGAGATAGAGCCTTCCAGGCCATGCCCCTCGTGACCCACCTCCTCCAACTGGGCTTCCCCTCCCAGATCACAAAGAGCTAGAAACTCATCACTGATGAGTATCTCACCCCCATGACCCCATCACCTCCCCAAACCCCCTCATGAGCACATGAGGCTTTGGGTCAACATCTAGATATAAACATAACAGTGATGTTGGTCTGGGAGCCACTGTGTTACCCTATGATGTGGCCTGGGTCGGGGAGCTCATTTGTGAAAACTGGTTTTGCAGTTAACTTCCTGGGCCTGACATTGATTCAAAAGAGGGTGATGTGGCCCTGGTACAGACTTGGTGTGAGTCGAGTCGTGTGGGGCTTGGTAACCTCCGCCCCTCCAAACACCAGTCGACACCATCAGGGTGTCCAGCCTCACATCTCCATGTCACCATTGGGACCTGTACCCCTGGGCACCTCCTGTGACTCAGGATGTTAGGTGTCTCCAGAGGCAGAGCACAAAGTGGTCCCTGGGTTTAAGTATGTTTCCTAACCAGCTGTGCAGATATGGCTACGTGACCAACTCCAAGGTGAAGTTTGTCATGGTGGTGGACTCCTCAAACACAGCCCTTCGAGACAACGAAATTCGCAGTGTGAGTGGGAGATTTGAGGCCACGCCGTGAGTGGGGATGGGTTTGCTGCTGCTCATTTTGCTGTGTGGAAATGCTAAGAGGCCGTGCCTGGCAGCAGCCATGCATGTGTTCATTTAAACCATCTCTGGGTCCTGTTTCAGATGTTCCGGAAGCTGCATAACTCCTACACAGATGTGATGTGTAATCCCTTCTACAACCCTGGGGACCGAATCCAGTCCAGGTGGGCCTGCTGTCTGTGGCTGCCTCTGTGCTGGGCCCGCACGGCCGTGTGGAAGTGTGGCAGCCCTGAGTCCCTGCCCTGTGGCAGCGATTTCAAAGTGAAACCCTTTGTTAACCAGCTCTGACTCAGATGGGGCAGGACTTGGCCACTTGGTTTCTCAGGTGCCCCCAGTGGGTCCCTGAGGCATCCCAGAGAGTGCAGCCAGGGCTCAGGTTTGTGGACAGTAGTCCGAAGGGAGAAAATGTCCTCATGTCACTGCCCAGTCTGCCTTTCCTATAGGACTTGGATTCTTTGGAGCTTGGGTCACAGGGGTCTTCCTGGGCTAGAGGGTGGCTCAGGGGTATGGTGCCTGCCTGGCACTCGAGAGGCCTGGTTTGATTCCTGGCACAGCCAGCAAGCCAACGTGGCAGACTTACTGTTTGGATAAACGTCACGAAGGAGCTTTGTGAAGCAGCATGGGTCCATGTGCTATACCCCACACTGGCTTCCCTTGGTCCATGACAGTTCCTGAGGGGCAGGTGATGCACACCAAGCCCTTCCCCTGGTGCCTTCCCTCACCGTGTGTCTTGGTCATTCTGGTCCAGGGGAGAGCAGCAGGTGTTTGGGGGCTGCACTGGGCAGGCATAGTGGTGCTCATTCCTGCTGCTCCCCCACCGCTGCCTGGGACTGTGGGCCCTGACCTGGGGACCCTGCCTGGAAGGGCTGTGGGGACCACAGGCAGGAGATGGGGTGGTAGGACTTGCATCCTGGCCTTGAGGTGGAGCTCCCTCACCGGACCCTAGAGAAGTCCTTCTCTTTCCTGGGGACTCGGAGATGGTGCAGCCTCTGCTAACAAAGGGATGGGGTGGAACCGTCTCCCCTGAATCGCCCTTCATCTTTGCAGGGTCTTCGACAACATGGTGACATCGATGATGATCCAGGTGTGTTGAGCAGGTCCCTACTGCCTGTGGCCAGACCCGAGAGAACCGTTGTGTACATAGCTGCTTGGAGCGTCTATTTATTGTCATTCCTCTTCCCAAGTGTAAGGGAGCTGGTGGGGGTGGGCACGTGCCTTGCCACTAAAACTTAGGAGTTGAGGCTGGCTTGTCCTTCGGTGTCAGCAAGGGGCACACTGAGGACATGGGGGGCAGTTGTGGCAGGAAGCCTGTTGTGGACAGGTGGGGCCCTGGTGGGAGCGGTGACCACAGCTAGCAGTGTAGGGAGGGCGCTGAGGACAGGAACCCGGCTTCCGCTCTTGCCCCTGGTGGTTGCAGTTGAGTCTGCTGCTGTCCCCTGGGCTTCCCCAGGATGAGTCGGGATCTTGCGGTCAACATCCCCAAAACCCATACAGCTAAAGCCCAAATCCTGGCCTTAACTGTGCCCATGATGGAGGGGCGGGCCTTCTGAGGTCAGGCTGGTCCCTGTGTTGTTTAACAGCTGGCTGAGAGATGCCGGCCTGTGGGGGGCAGGGGCTTCGAGGACCCCAGGCTGAGCCCATCTGTCCCCATGTTCCTGTGTCATGCTGTGTTTAGATTCCCCAAATTGCAGGTCCAGGATGCTCCATCTCAGCCAAGCAGCCCTCCAGATCCCCCCCCTTGACCCAAGAGTTTCAAGGATTTCTGGGGCCCCAGAATGCTTGGGATGGGAGGTGAGCTGCTGCTCCTCAAAGCTCTGGGCTTCCTTCCCTCCCAGCGAGCACAGTGTTGATTTTTTAAAAAAGTTTCGTAATTGGGCCAGGGATTTAGCTCAGTGGGGCTGCCACCTGCCTTGTAAGCGCAAGGGCCGGAGTTCGATCCCCAGTACCAAAAAACAAACAAAAAAGTTTCCTAATAGTAAGCTGGGTGTGGTGACAGACACCTGTAACCCCAGCACTGGAAGCTAAGGCAGGAGGACTGCTAGTTCAAGCCCAGCCTGGGCAACTTGGCAAGACCTGTCTCAGAAAATAGAGAGAGGGCTGGGGTGTAGCTCAGTGCGAAGGCCCTGTTCTGCTGCACGCATAAACAAACGCAAGCCCCAGGTCTCCCCACCCCAGGCGGATAGAAGACCCTGAGACTCAGGGCAGCAGGCGGCTGGTGCTGACATGGGACACACTCACTCTCGGTTCACAATTGGTGACAGGAGGCTGCATTTGTATGGGAGGGGACACTGGGCAGCGGGAGCAGCTGCCTGAGACGGCGGCGTGGTGGAGGCTGCCCACTGGCTGCAGCGCCCCTTCCGCCTCTCCCGCTTCTCCCTCGTGGAGAACTCGTGTCACGAGAGACAGTCGAGAGATGCATGCCGCTTCCACCTTGCGCCCCATGGCAGGTAGCAGAGGTGGAGTGGGAGGTGTTGGGAGATCTCTGGGCAGGGCTTTAAGAGGGTTCACCTTCGTCTCTTCCTGCCTGGGACCTGTCTGTGTGGCTGACTGACAGCTGTCGTGAGAGCGTGAGGATGAGACTCCACTGATGTCCAGCCCTGGATGTGTGCGTGTGCGTGTGCGCGCGCGCCAAACCCCTCTCCCAGAGGCCACTGGCACCTGCGTTCCTGTTAGTTGCGGCTGGCCCTGTCTCGTGCTTTACATGGTGGGGAGCTTCCCATGCTTGGTTAGGCGGCTCCTTTAGAAGACGGTGTCCGAAGCAGTCTGCTCAGCGGGGATGGGCACCAGGCCTGCGGGCCACCGTCTCTCCTCCTCCCCACCCTGAGCACGGCCTGTCGCCGACTCCTGCCTCCCAGGCCCATCCTCCAGCCCAAGCACCGCCTTCTCTGGGGGACCTCTAGGATGTCGGCTCTTCTGGCACCAGCAGCCTGGTCCCACCTAGTAGCTGCTCATGCAGTGACCGCCTGTGCTTAGAGACCCTGGAGGGGTGGGAGCAGAGCACCCCATTCCTCAAATCTGCGGGAAAGGAAGGACAGGGCTCCCTCAAAGGGCAGCCACGCTGATGGGGCAGCACCGCAGCACTGAGTGGAGCCTGTTGTGGCCAGGCAGTGGCGGCTCTGTGCCAGCTTCTGCTCAGTGCCCAGCCTTCTCGCTGGGCCTGACCACTGAGTGGTGGTGTGTAGCCCATCGTGCCCACCCTGGACCAGGGCCCCACACCCTGGGGCTCAAAATAGAAGTTTGCTCTCTGCTCGGAGGCCAGAAGACAGGGCCGGCTGTGGGTAAGCCAGCCCCGCTGCAGCTCTGGAAGACCCGTGCCGTGGCTCCTGTCACCCTTGGTGCCCCTTGGTCTGCAGACAATCGGTGCTGCTCTGGCCTCTGCCTGTCTCCTTGGCGAGTCTCGGGCCTCATCCTACGGTTGGACTTGGGATCCACCCAGATAGCTCAGGGTGCCTGAAGCTGAGGACTGTTTTTGAGACAAAGATGGGGCAGAGTCGTGTTTGATGGGGTCCACCTGGGGCCTGACCAGGCTCCTCGGCCGTCAGGGTGCAGGGTGGCCCACCTTCAGCGAGCCCAGTGCCTGCCTCGTAGGGACGCCGAGTCAGGAGGGCTGTATGGCCGTCTGCTCTTGCTTCCTGAGCTGATCACCAGGCTGGGCCTTTCCAGTCTGGGTGAGGGCGAGAAGGCAGGAGTATCCTGGAGGTCCAGATCCGTGTGGAGGTGCAATCACAGGAGGAGCCTGCCAGTCCCCGCCTGGGGCACCGTGAGGCCACAGTCCTGTCCCACCCACCCGAGAAGTTGCAGTGTGAACTTGGATCCATGTCAGGAGAACAGGGGAGATCTGTCGTCATGTGCTTTTAAAAACATTCAAATTTAATTTATTCTTTACTCGTAAGACGAACATGCTTCTGTTTTTCTTTAAAATGAGTGAGTCGAGCTGAGGTGGCCCATCCTGGCTGGCCAAAGCACCTGGGCCTCCCCGGCCTCCCCCACCTCAGATGCCCAGTTGTCCAGGGCCTCTAGGCCCGGCCACCCACTGGGCAGCTGTGTGACTTGTGGCTGCAGACCCAGCCTGTCTGGAACAAGCGGTCCCCCGGGGACACAGCTGCTGACTCCCGGCCCAGTGTCGACCCCACACAGTCAGGCGTCCCCTCAGTATGGTGAGAACCACATGGAGAATCTTCCGCGTCCCCTGCAAGAGGCAGAGAGGCAGGTGGATGGCAGCCCAGCAGCTCAGCACCCTTGGGGCATCTTTCTGCAGCTCCAGGCTATCTTGGGGCTCCCCATAGGGTGACAAGCAGAGCCCACCAGGGTCAGGCTCGAGCTCTGAGCCCTCCTACCTGCCCTGCCCACGTGGTCGGAACCGGGGCCTGCCCTGGAGGCTGCTGCACGGGGCTGCCACCACCCTGGTCCCCTGAAGGCCCCCGCGGTCCGTGGAGCTGATCCCTGGAAAGTTGGTCCTCTTGGGGAGCACCTGGAAGCAAAGGCATGAGGCCCAGACCTCTCCATTTGCAGCCGGCCCCTCTCAGAGCCCCACCTGTGTGCCACCTTGGTCGAGGGCAGTCTGGGCACCACCAGCGCCCCCTGGGGGTTGGCTCAGAGGGGAGAGCACCCCCAGGGACACGCACCTTGATGACCCGGCCCCGGAAGATGCTCTCATCCAGCTCTACCGCAGCCTGGGCCGAGAGCTGGGTGGTGAACTCCACGTAGGCATAGCTGGGGGGGGGGGCGCAAGGGTCAGGGCAAGGGTGAGTCTTCACTGCCTGCACCCGCCACAGCCCTGCACTGACCCCTTGGGATGGCCGGAGAACTTGTCGCACAGGATGGTGACGCGGTGCACCTCCCCACAGGGGTGGAAGTGGGCCTGCAGCTCCTCGGCCGTGCCGCCATAGTCCACCTGCCCAGGTACGGCCCCTGTGTTCTCCGCACAGAGAGGCGAAGGAGCCCAGGACCCGGTGCAGTAGCACTCGGACTGTCCCCCGCCCGAGGGCTGGGTGACGGGCAGCCCGAGTTTGTGCACTTTCTGTGCAGCCCCCACCTTAGAGCCTTTGGCTTGCTCGAGGTGTGCGTGGTCTGTACAGTGACTGTCACTAGAGGACATCTGACAACAGGCCGTGGTTCCCTGGGGGCCAGCCCAGTAGCCCCAAACCCAACCACCCCTCCAGCTGGCCTGGACCCCTGGACGTCCCTTCCTCCGACTCTGCCCCCAGGAGGGTGGCCCCAGCCATGGACAGGGCTGCTGGTGTGCCCTCCTACCACTCACATTGCCCACGTAGATGGATCTGTGGTCGGCCTCCACCGTCTCCCGGGGGGCCACAGGGAAGGGGCCACCTGCAGGGAGAGGGCCACAGACACCTGGTGGGTGCCTGTCACCTGGGCTCTCGGGGAGGCACTGCGGGCCAACCCATGACAACACCCCCTGCTCCCTAGTGAGCCTCATGGGGAGGCCACCTGCAGCCCACCGGATTGGGGCAGGCTCAGAGCCTCGGGGTGTGTCCTCAGACGGGCTTGGGGCACCAGGGCCCCTCGGTTCCTACCCACAGTCTCAGGGCTCAGCAGTTGCCTGGCCCTGGCGCCCTCTTCCTCCGTGGCCAGTTCCTGTTTGCTGGGTGGCTCCGGCGCCCCCTGGGCCTGCTCCATGGTCCACAGCTTCAGTTTGATGGCCTCCAGCCCCTGCCAGCATGGCAGGGTGAGCCTGGGGACATCCTGCAGGACCTGCCAGGGCAAGGGCAGGAAGGGGACAGCCCTGCCGGGGGCCACGGACCCTGAGAGACGAGCCCTTTCTCCCAGCAGTGCCCAGGCCGGCGGAGAAGCCCCTGTGACCTCGCCAGGGCTCCTCTGGTCGCCCTCTCTCTCCTCTCCAGCCAGCTGCCTGTCCCTTTGTCCCGGCCTATGCCCAGGTCCCTGCTTGCCGCCACCTGGCTGCTACCTGGTCAGGTTCAGGGCCATTGGCCAGGCTGTCGGACTCCAGCAGGGACAGTGGGAAGCCTGCGTCTCCATCCTCCTCTTCCTCAGCCTCCCTTCCACCCCCACTTCCTGGCTCCAGAGGGGTCTTCTCTGACCTGGCCCAGGCCCCCCAGCCCTGGGCTTCAGGGTCCGAGGAGACCGTCTGGAGCCAGGCCTCGGTGGGGGGCGGGAAGAGTGTGCAGCTCTGGAAGGGCCACATGGGCGGCTGGGCAGCAAGAGCTGCTGCTCACTTCCACCACTGCTTACCTGCGCGCACCTGCCCAGGCCGAGTTTTAAGCTGTACGCATGCCAGGGGCAGCTGCTCCCAATGCAGCACCAAGGGCTTCCAGCTGGGTGCGGCCCGCCCACACTTCCTTCCCCTGGGCGGGGAGGGTGCGAGCCCTCGGAAAGGCCAGCTGCTGTGGGCACCCAGGGTCTCTGCCCACCTCCTCTGACTCAGCAACTGCGCCCCCAGGAGGCCCCAGTTAGCAATGGGGCTTGCGCAGGTTGGGGAGGCCAGGGCCCGGCTGGTCAGGCCAGGTCCTGCTCGTGGGAGGCAGCAGCCTCTGGCGCTTGGGTTTCCATGGACCCCCGCACCCCCGCAGCGGGCACATCTCAGGTGGAGCCCCGCTGCTAAACTGATCCTTTGCTCTGCTGAGGCCTAGGGCTAGGGGAAGCCGCCTGCCCCACGCCGCCTGCTCCCTGGAGGGCTGCCCGGGGCTCTGCACTCTCTTTCCTGCCTCACCCATTGGAGGGCCTGTCTGCAAGCAGGTTGTGGCCTCCCACGCCCCAGGCCTAACTCCATTGAACCCCACACCGAGGGCGGCCTCCGGGCCAGGATGCAGGAGGCTCCCTGTCTCCAGCACCCAGGGACCAGCCCTCATTGGCCTGGGTTCCTACCTGGGGTGAGGCAGGCGGGGCAAGGGTGGAGGATAAGGCAGGTTGCCCGGCCCGGTCTGAGGCTCCACTGCAGCCAGACCCTTGCTCCTGGCAGGAGGCTGGGCACCACCACTGTGTCCCAGCTGGACGTTCCTGCCCTTCATCATCCTGGGAGCTCAGGGCCTGCAGGGGAGAATCGTGTCCTCCAGGCCCCGGGACCACTGCCTCCAGCCAGGTCAGAGGATGCCACAGCGTGGGTATGCAGTGGCCTTCCTGTCGTGTGCCCTTCAGATGGGACACTTTGTGGACACATCCCCAGCGGTGGTCTTCTTGGGGAGGGGTCAGGCCCTGGAAACCATCAGATCACCTCTGGGGCCTCAGATTATCTAGGCCTCCTGGGACCACGGCCTTCAGAGGCTCACCCACTGGACAGTCTGCTCACCATGGTCATCCCATGTCCCCCGCCTCCTCCCTGTGCTGCCCAGCACCCTGTCCACCCCCGTCTGCCTGAGGGGAGGCCCTGCATCCTTCGCCTGCAGCGCTTGGGAAGGAGCAAAGCAGAGTCCGGGAGGGGAAGGGCCTTGGAGGTACAGGCCCCTTACTACACAGCTGGGGCAGCCTGGCCGCAAAGGATGGGGAGAGGACAGCAGGTGTGGCTCCTCACAAAAAACTGCCCCCTCCCGGCCCAAGTCCTCGGGGGGAGCAAAAGCAGACAGGAGGTCGTGGACCGTGGCTCCATCCCCAGCCTGCTGTGGCTTGGGGCACTGATGCCTTCTGGTGGCCTGGGAGCCTGGGGTCCGGCTGGCTGGTGGCAAAGGAAGCACAGCAAGCGAGATGGGGTCTCATGGAACTCTGGGAAGGGCTCGGATCTTCACTGCACAGCTGCCCCAGGCCTCATCTGTGAGGTTGAGGTTGAGGGAGCAGGTGGTCTCGAGTCCAGTGGGCGTCAGTGTGCCACCATGATCACAACTCTGGGGCCTCCCCCAGCTCATGTCATGGCTCGGTGGGGGCCTGTGGGGTGGGCAGGAGGCAGGGGAGGCTACAGCTGGCTGGGGGTGTGATCACCACCAGGGACTGCAGCGGGGCAGATGGGGTCACCCCTGGCGTCAGGGGAGCCATTCCACAGCGCCAGGACCTCCTGGAGGTCTCTCTTGGGACCCTCCCCCAGGTGCCACCCTCCAGGGCAGGAGGCAGGGAGGGTGCACACTCTGCCACTGTGGGGAGCCCCTGAGCAGCTTGCAGGCTGCCCCACCCCCATCCTGGCCCCAGCCCCGGCCCCAGCAGACTCTCATCTGTCCCTGAGGTGTCTGCAGCGGACTTGGGCGGTGGGTGCTACCTTGCAGGCAGGTTCCCTAAGCACAGCCTGGTTGGCCCCAGGCAGTGCACTTGAGGCCATGGGAGGACCTGGTGAACTTGGTATACTGGGGTCACTGGCTGCAGTGGATGAGCTGGACGGGGAGGAGGGAGTGAGGATAGCTGTGGGAGGCTGGAGGACAGAGTGACACATGCACGGTGTACAGGAGGACGGGGCACAGGCAAGTGGGTTGGTGGGTGGGTGGACAGGGTGACTTGACGACGCAGCTGATAATTAGCTGTGCTGAGGGGTGGGCAGGGAGATGGACGGATAGATGCCGGAGATGGACTTTGGTGCCAGCTGGAGGAGCTATCTGGGAAAACTGGCAAACGAGACCTTTGGGGGCTGTCCTGACCCAGGCACCATGTCCATGAGCTGAGCCCCCCCCAGCTCTCCTGTCCATCCCCATCCAGCGCTGGCCCTCTCGGGGGTCTGCATGTGCCTGCTCAGTCACTTCTGCTGGGCTTTCCGGGAAGCCGAGATCCACCTGTCCCGCCCAGCACCTGTGGCCAGTGTGGACTGGAGCTGCAGGTCTCTGCCTCTGTCCTGGTCAGAGGATGGCCTGGGCACGGCCTGTGAGACACTTGTCAGGTCCTGGGTCCAGCGGGGGGAGGGCAGGAGGAATGGAAGAGCTGGGATGCACATGGAGTGAGGGTTGGCCCTGTGTCTGTCCCTGTCCTGTCCTGTTGTAGCTCAGGGCTCAGGGCAAGGTGAAACCACAGCAAGCAGCAAGGGACACTCCTAGCACAGAAACGCAGTCTCCGTGACAACCGGCCACAGCCAGGGCTCCGGCTTGGCTCTGCTGCGAGGTCTCTGGGTGGACAGAACTTGAGGGCAGAACCCACAGCAGTGGCAGCTCTGTCACACGGGGACAGTGCCTTCTGTCAACAGGTGGCAGCTGACACTGCCCAGAGCTCCTCCACACCACACATGCCAGGACACCCTCCTGCTCCTCTGGCCTCAGTTTCCCCACTGCAGCCTTCCTCCTGATCCTCCTCCCTGCTGGGCTCTCAGGTCTCCCATTCCCTGAGTCTTGGGGTGGGGACTGGCATGGCCAGGTAGCCTGTCCTGCAGTCTCTGGGAGGCCTGCCAGTCCCCAAAGAGGAACACAGTGAGGGGAGGGACAGAGGTGTTTCCTTGAAAACCACAGACCGGGGCCCACCCAGGAGTGAGCACCCCCAGCCCAAGGCCCAGCAGCACCCAGGCCAGGCATCTCCAAGGACCACTGCTCGCAGCACAGCCTCGCCGGGGTGCACAACCCTAGGGCCCACGGGTTTCTCTGTACAAACACAGTGCCCCCGACTCCAGGCATTCAGGACCCTTTGCTAGCTGCAGGTAGTTAGGGCCTGGGGGGCTGGGAGCAGCAAGGCAGCAGGGACCAAACAAGGTACCTGGGGGACAGCTTTCCCCCACGGGCACATGGAGAAAACCAGAACGGGCTTCCATGTGTGACTGGCAGCCAAACCCCATGTGGCCGTCACTTCCTGAACCCCCGGGAGCAGAGCCCTGCCAGCTCGGGGGCTGTGGCCTTGGGGACCTCCTGGAGGACAAGAGCTCTCCTGACCTTGAGGACAGGGTGCTCTGTCCCAGGGCTGTTGGCATCTGGCAGGTCCTTTCTTTAACTCGAAGAATGAATTCTGCAACTGTGAGAAGCATCCCCCGCGGAGCCGCCCCCTTGCTGGGGAACAACTGCACATTTCGCCAGAAACCTCCTTCCTGCATTTTACATACGTCTGTGGTTTCCCCTCTCTTTATTTGGCAAACATCTCTTACCACCCCCGTGAACACCGTTATTTGGACCTCTGCAGACTATGTACATTCACATTGGCGTGCACGAGCCTCTTGCACAGGGCCGCAAGCCCTACTGCACTCGAGTCTTTCGTGCCTCCGCCGTGCATGGGGAGTGGGTCTGCTCAGTCCTTGGTGCCGGATCTCCCTCTCCTCGAGTTGCTGAGGGTGTCACATGGCGTGGGAGGCGGGAGAGCTGGTGGGGAGCGTCCTGCCCCCAGGGGTGAACAGCTGGGTGGACTGACGGTGGATGTGGGGCTATATACAGCTGAGCATGAGTCTTCAGGGGGAGGGAGAGTGGCTGCTTTCGTGTGTGCGCCTTTTTCTGCAAAGTGTGAAGAAAGCAGGCCTGGGGCCTGCGTGGTGACCGGTGGGAGCCGAGAGGTAGAGAACGGAGGGCAGGGTTCCAGGAGCAGTCGCCGCCATCTGCTCGTGCTTTGAAAACAGCCAGGAATCAACCCAAAAGATTGTCAGTTTTGTTCTGGAGTTGTGCTCTCTGGGGAGAACACTTCAGCACTTTTTTCTTCACGAATGGAGAAATGAAGTACGGACAGCCACGGGGCATGAGGGCAGACCGCGTCTCCCTGAACGCAGGAGATGTGCGCTGACCGTGGGCGCAGGGGCCTTGCCGCTCCTGTCTGCCCTGGGAGGCTGCAGAGCTGCAGAGGAAACTCGGGGTCGCTTCTGACTGGGCCCAACCCGAACCCCAGAATCCCAACACCCCGGAAAATCAAAACCAAAACAAAAAGACCAGCATTCAGACGAACCCAGGCTGGGCTGAAACAGTGAAAGGAATACTTTGGCAGTGGAAGAGCATTTTGGATTTTGATTTCTCGTGTTTGCTTTTTGGGTTTCCTTTGGAGCAGAGGTGTGTCCGGTATCCTTGGCTGGCTAGCTAGCAAGGTAGTTTACAGGTATGCTTCCTTTGCTTTTTAAAAAAACCTTTTTGGATTTTTACTTAAAGCCAAAGAGTTTGACATTAAAAAAAAACAAAAAACAAAACACCACAATAACCTGAATCCAAAAATGCTTGAGCCGGACACTGAAATCCTCCTCACTGTGTCAGCTGCATCTGCCAGGTAGCCTGGGTGACACAGTGAGCTCAGGTTTCCGGATAGAAAATCAGTTTCCCCCCCTTTTAATAAGGAAGGGGGAGAACTCCACGGTCATCTTTGTCCATTTCTGAGTAGCTCTTTTGCCAACAAAATGAACCCCCCCCCCCCAATTCTTCACTGAAAATACAAGCTACCAGTTAGGGGCTCTTCACAATAGGGAAAGTGTGTGGAAGTCATAAAGACAGAACAAAGACAAGAGACAGTGGAGACAGACACAGACAGACAGACAAGACGGGACAGACAGTGGGCGAGCCAGGCACGCTCCGCCAGCGCCGCTGTGCTGGATCCCTGGCTGGGGAGGGTGCCCGGAGGAGGTTGTCAGGTCGTGGTGGATGCTCGGGTCAGGTAGTTGAGGAGGCTGCAGCACAGCTCCGGTTGGTTCTATGTTGCTTTTGGACAGAAGTAGTAGCAGCAGTGGTTCCTGCCGGCCGGCCAGGTGGGCACAGCATCCAGTGGCCAGGCCGGGCCGGGGCTCAGTGGGGCGTGGCACCCATGGGCCAGGTGTTGGGGTCTGGAGGGGTCAGCGGGGCACGGCAGCATCCAGCGGGCCGGGTGGGCCAGGGGAGCCCGGGCGGGAGGGCCCGGCAGAGCTGGCCTCGCTGGGGCTGGCAGTGGCATCAGGCTGCCCAGGCAGCGTGTCGGGCACTGCAGCAGCAGGGCCCTGCAGGCTCTGGCCGCACACATGGTGGTGCTTCTCCCAGTCCTTGTGCTGGCAGAAGGAGCCGCAGTAGCGTGCAGCATTGCAGCCACTGCACGTCTCGCTGGCCTTGCGCCCGCAGTTCCAGCAGCTCTGTGGGGGTCAGGGGTGGTTAGGCTCTTCGAGGAGGGGCTCTGCTCTGCACGGCACCCCAGCCCCCAGCACGGCCTTGGCACGGCTCCTGGCAGACACTGCCCATTGTGGGTTGGTGCCTGGGGAGTGGCCCTGGGCAGCCAGGACAGCTGTTCCTGAAGGCCTGCTCCTCGGGGGCACCAAGTGTGGACAGAGCCGGGCCTTGCCCAAGGGGTCACCGCCCTTGTGGCAACCTGGTCTCCGGAGCCTGGGCCCACAGCCTCACATTCCCCCATGCTGCTCAGCTCCTCGCCTTTGCTGCTCCCCACGCCCAGGGTGTCTTGACTGTCACTGTGTACAGAGGGGCTCCTCGACCCCCATTTGCACCACCTGAAATGCTCAGTGCCACTCCTTTGTCAGGCTTTTCTCTTTTTCTGTATTGGAGATTGGTCCCAAGGCTTTGAACCTGCTGCTACCCTTCAGCTGCATCCTCAGCCCTGTTTTTATTTTTTGTTTTGAGACAGGGTCTTGCTAACTTTCAAGGGATGGCCTTGAACTTTAGATCCTTCTGCCTCTGCCTCCAAGTAGCTGGGATGACAGGTGTGTGTCACCAGGCCTAGCTGTGTCAGTCCCTTCTCTGCCCACCCAGATTTGTTCCCTGTCCAGCCTGCTCCTCCACAGCTGCCTGTGGCTGGCAGAGCTGTGTGGAGGAGTGGGAGCTGATGGTCCCACTCTGCCCCGGGGAGCCCGCCCAGGTCCCCAACAGGCACCCCCTTGCCTGAGCGTGGCTCCTCCCTGACGTCTCTGACCCTCACTTCTCCCAGACAAGGAGGGAAGGGGCTGTGGCCCTGCACCAGTATCCCATGCCCGGGTTCCCTGGGCCCCCCTCGAACCAGCTCCTGTGGCTGCTGGCGGTGCCAGGAGCAGAGTGGGGTGTAGGCATGGCTGGCACCGTACCTCGCTGGAGTCCTCCTGCTGGTTTACGACAGTCAGGGCGTCCTCAGAGGCCTGGCGCTTGGCCTCGGCCAGGGCCCGCTCCATCTTGGCACGCTCTGTGGTGATGAGCTCATGGGCTTTGCGCTCTGCGTCTGACACGGCTTTCTGCAGCTCCGACATCGCCTGACGCTTCACCTCGTTCACGGCCTCCTCTGCAAAGCACACCGGGGCCGTGTTCACAAGGCCGAGCCTCAAGCTCCCTGGCCTCCCGTGACTGGGCAGGGCCTGCAGCTACAGCACACTCGCCGGGCCCTCTCCACGTGTGTGCACACTTGGGCACACTCTTGACCTCAGCCTGTGCGGACCTGGGGTGCAGGTGAGTGCATCCTGAGCACGTGTGAGCAAGTGTGAGCCAGTGTGTGCATGGGGCCTTCAGAAGCCAGCCCACCCTCCCGCCCTTGTGTGCCTGGTTTCCTGGAGGTTTGGCCAGCAGTTTGAGTGCCCAGGGAGTGGAGCTCTGAATGGCTGGAGGCTGCCCCAGCAGGGCCCTGCTCTGTCTTCCCTGTGGCCCAGTGGAACCAGCCTTGCCCTGCTCTGCATGCCTCCCTGGAGCTTGTGCTGCCACCTGTGCTGTTCCTGGCGGGCAGAGAGGCCAGGGTCTATCTCCACTGGCCCAGCAGGGACTCTGAGGCCTCTTGAGGACCCCCACACCCACCGCCCAGATCTGCTGGGAGCAGCAGGGTTGGGCCGTGGCCCAGGGCCCTGCCAGTATCCATGCTGATCCACTCCAGCCCTCCATGAAGTCTTTCTCAACTACAGCCAAGGTTGCTGAGGCCTGCCTCAGTTTACCTGGCAGCACTGGCCTTCAGAACTGGGCCCCCGTGAGGCAGTGGGACTCCCATGTAGGGTGCTGAGACACTCGTGGGTCTCCCCTCTCACCATCTGTATCCTGGGAGTGCTGAGCCTCTAGCAGGGCCCAGAGCCCCTACCAAGTGAGGCTCCACATGGACAGCAGCAGAGGCCTCAGGAGGTTAGGTGACAGGGACCGGACCACTGTGTGAGGACGGCTGCCCCGGCTCACTGTCCCCTGCCTCCACCTCAGGCTGGGACGGCCTTCCTCCACTGTCATGTGACTGGGACTCCCCTGTCCCTCACACTTCCCAACGAAGTCACCGAAGTAGAAACACACCTGGTCCCACCTGTCCCTACCACTGCCTCAGGCAGGTACCTCGTCCGCCCGTGATGTTCAGGTCCCCTCTGTGCCCCCCACTGCTACAGCAAACGGTCACAGCTCTCCCTGCTCCCCTTCAAGTCTGTGTGACCGTGCGCCCTGCAGCACAAGCTCCACCGTGTGCAGATGCGGCCGAGCCCAGGCTCAGGTGGACGGCATGCTCCCCTTCCTGTGGGAGCCGCCCAGGCCCGTCGGCTTCAGGGTCCATCTGGCCACTCACCGGCCTTCCTCCAGATCTCCTCAGGCATGTAGCCGGACAGCGCCCTGGGTGTGAGCTCACGGTGCAAGTCTGAAAGGGGAGGCCTAGGGTTAGGGCGTCTGCTCGCCTCAGGGCTTCCCAGGTTGGGGAGACTGTAGGGCCCTCAGTTTCCCACCGGGGTCTCCAGGGGCCATGGGTGGAGACCTGCACCCAGCCAGAGCAGGAAGGGGCGGCTCTGGAGCCCAGGACCCAAGTGCAGCTGGGAGGTGGTGCCTCCTGGCCCCCTGGATTCCACATTCACCTCAAGGTGGACGACCACAGACCTGGGGCCCGGGTTCCCGGCCGGTAAGGTGGTGTCTCGTGGAAGGGGAAGAGTTTTCTTTTGGTTTGAGTTCTGCTGCACTCCTGCGTGACAGTGCTCTGTGGGAATCAGGCCCTCCCAGCTCCTCAGCTACTGTGGTCACCTCCCACAGCCCCTTCATGGCCCCACCTGTCCCTCGCCCTCCCCAGCGCACACCAAGCTGAGAGCTCTCGAGGCCAGCAGAGCTGCTGAGGGGCCGGGTGGGACCAGGGCCCTTCTTCAGGTCCTCGGCGTCGCTGTAGCGCCGGATCCAGTGGTTGAGCTCCTCGCGGTCTGTCTCCTGGCATCGGCGCAGCACCGTGAGTGAGCGCCGAGTCTTCTCCACCATGTCCATAATGCAGTTCAGGAGCTGCAGGTGATCATGGCCATCAGCATGGGGAGCTTGGGCACAGCAGGCGCCTCACGTCCTGCATGAGGGGCCAGGCTGGGCCAGAGTGGGGAGCCCAGGCTCGGGGTCTCCACCAGCCCTAGAGGTGCCAGGCTCTGGCTGGCAGGAAGCTCAGGCAGACCAGGGTGCAGGGACAGCCCCTCCTCCCCAGGAAGGCGGCCGGCAAGTGACGTCAGTGGCCCTATGATGGGGGGATGGGTGGGCCTGAGGCACATGGCTGCCTACCCCGCCTAAACCCGGGGCCACACAGAACTCCAGAAATGCTTCCGAGAGTCTCTGTTACAGATGAGCCACCGAGCACATAGTGGGGAGGGCAGCTGCCTGCCCGATGGCCCCAGCCCTTCCCGTCCCCCATGATGCCTGGACAGGCCTGGGGACGGAGCGAGGGCTCGTGCATGGGGACCCGGGCGGGGCAGACGGGGTGCTGAGCTGGAGGAGCCCGCGTGGGTGCCCACGGGAGGCAGACCTGGCAGGCGCCGCCCGCGTCCCGGGCAGACACTCACACTGTTGAGGTGTTTCCACTCTTCCGCCCACTCTCGCTCTGTGAGCCTGTGGTCAATCACTTCTTCCTGCCGGGCCCCAGGCACTGCTGCAAGGGGTGGTGCAGGCTTAGGCCCTGCCCAGAAGCCTCCCTGCTGCAGGTCCCCTCCCCCACGCCTGCCTCCCAGAGCCCCATCCGGGGCTGTGCCCACCTCGGGAGTCGGGGTGCAGGGGATCCTGGGCCCTGGGCCTCTGCACCCCGCTCAACACTGGGAAGGAAGAGACAAACATTCCCTCCCTGGTTCCAGCCCTGGCCCCCCCTGCCCTGCCTCCTCACCACCAAGCCCTGCCTCTCTCTCCGTGCCCAGACCTCACCTTGAGGGTCTCAGCAACCTCAGCAGCCTCAGGGCCTCGTGGGCTGCCTGGTTCCTCTCTTAGAACCTCCCCTCAACCACCTGTACTCTTATGCATGCCTCAAAGCCCATGTCACAGCTCCCTTCACAGCAGTGGAACCCTGAGTTCCCGGCCCGCACACAGGTGCCCCGATCCTGCTCTGGCTCCTCCCGCCAGGCTGTGCCGGCTCCCAGGCAGGCGGAACCTGCTCACCTGTCCCTCCTGAGCTCTGCCTGGGTGTCTGCCTGCTGGCGGTGCCTAGGTGCCTCCGAGGGCAGGCATGGGTCAGGGCCAGAGTGAAGGTCCTTACTCCCTGTGGGGACTGCATCTGGCACTGTGCCTCAGTTTCCCTTCCCTGCCTGGCTCCCGGTGCAGACCAACTCTCAGGCACACACAGGGAAGCATGCTGGGGAGAGGCCTGAGGGCTCAGAGTCTGGCTTCACCCCGCTCCTGCCAGGGCACCTGTCTGGCCTCATCTCACAGACCAGGACGGGCTGCTGGGCCACATCTGCCTGGAGCGGCAGCAGGGTGTGGCCTGGCAGGGGAGGCCTGGGGACAGAAATGTTGGCAGTGTCCCCGAAGGCTGCCCCGAATGCCACACGTGCGAAGCCCTCCCTGGGTGTCCTGCCCTGGGGGAGCCGACTTAGCGGAGCCCAAGTCTCTCTGGGCCGCCTGCCGTCCTGAAGGTCCCCAGGCCCCAAACCCAAAATGCACAGGGCCACAGTCCCTGTCACTGCCTTCCCGGTCTCTTGCTGAGCTGGGTCCAGGCCGACTGCCCAACTGAAATAGTGGGTGAGATCTCCCGACAGCTGGTGTTTATTTTTGTGTTAGCAGAATCGGGTGGGAATTAGCACCTGCCTGACCCGGCTGCAGCCAGCAGCCACTGTCACCTGCTGCCTGGGCCCCGGCCTGACGTTCCTGCAGAGTGGGGGCGGCCGCTGAGCTGCCCTGGACCCCGGGGTGCCCTGGGCGACCGAGGGTCAGCAGTTTCCAGGCTCCCCTCCATGGGGCCTCCTGGGGTGGGCAGGGCTGACCATGTCCTGGAGCCCGGGAGAGGGGGCAGCAGGCCGGGCAGCTCCTTCTGCAGAGGTGTGGGTGGAGGACCCAGCCTGTCGCCCTGGGATCCACACCAGAGGCTCTCACTGTGACAGGGACAGCTCCACAGTCACACCCCTGGCTCCTCACATGACCGAGGCCATGTGACCTGAACAGGGGCCAGGGGACATGCAGGCGCCGTCCCACGCACTGCTCACCCAGCTGCCGATGGCGCTCCCGCAGCTCCCGGGGCTCGGGGGGTCGGTAGGGGTCGCGGAAGTGGTGGGCCATGGCCATGTCCTCCAGGCGGTAGTGTGGTGGCGGCATGGGGTGTGGCAGCCCGTTGCTGGGGCTGCAGCGCTGGGCGGGGCTCAGGGTGCACGGCCGTTTGCTGAGGTGGTCCAGGTGCGGCGGGTCACCGTCTGACCCATTCTCTTTGGTCCTGGCCCAGAGATCAGGTGGGACAGTGGTCACGGCCACCAGCTGGAATGGGGCGGAGGGGTGGACCTCCAGCCAGGCAAGGGCACTGTCTCCTCCGCTCCCCGTGGGCACCCTGCTGGGGGCTGGGGAGAGGAGACACCCAGGGCCTTGGAGCAGCTGCCACTCCGTGGCAGCATGGGCAGTGAGGGCCCAGTCCAGGCACCGGGCGGCCCGGCCTCCGTGGACTCACCCAGGGGCTCCCGGGGCATCGGGGTCCTCAGCCTGTCAGCCTGGGCCATGCCTGGCCATCAGCCAGGCAAGCATGGTGCCATAAGACGCAGAGTGTCCACTGTGGCCACTCAGCCCCACCACGGGGCAGCACGGGGCAGTACCTGTCAGGCGTCCGCCTCTTGCCATTCTCGTTCACCTCTAACAGGAGCTCGGAGGAGTCGCCGGGGGAGGTGGTGCTGGCATCCAGCAGTGTCTGCTCATGCTGGGCCAGGTACTGGGCGGGTGTCTGCTTGGCCAGGCGGGCGCAGTGCAGCAGCTCGCGCTGCAGCAAGGGCAAGTTGGCCTAGGAGGGGGGCACGCACAGCTGAGCCCGAGCATGCGGAGCCTGGGCCAGTGACCACTCCGCTCTGGGCCCTGGCCCCCAGCCTGCCTCCCCAGAAAACTTGCTGTGTCCTTGCAGTGCTGGGGAAGCCAATGGGACAGCGATGTGGGGTCCTGGGACCAGAGCCTGGACTCTGTCACCACGCTCTCCCTCAGCAGGGACCATACAGTCCTTGGAATGGAGGAGAGCTCAGGGCTCAGAGAGGGGAAGCAACCAGCCCCATGCACACGCGTGAACAGAAACAGGTGCCGGGAGCAGCAGGAGAGAGACTTGCAGACTCTGCTCTGTCCGCTGGGGGGCGCCAGGTCCTGGCTTCTTGCTGATGTCCTGCTGTCCAGCTCCACCCCCAGGGCAGCCCGGAGCTAGGACGCCTAGGCTCTGTGGGCCACCAGGCCCGACACAGACTTGGCCTGGGGTTTTCGGGTAAGGGCACTGGGGTCTTACAGGCTGCATCCCTGGCCACCACCTCCAGCTTGGCCTCCCTGTGCATGGGCTTCCCAGGGTCACCGGGATGGGGGGTGTTGGGCCCAAACTGCTGGACCAGAGCCCAGCAGAGGCCACTTGGGACACCCAACAGTTCCAAGTATTTGTAAATAAACGCGGTTCCCTTCTTTCTCATGCACTTCAAAGCTGCTGGCAGCTTCCCGCCTCTGCCTCCCAGCCCCCACGGTGTGTCCAGCCAGCCTGAGATGTTCCCATCAGGCAGTGCTGCTGCCAGGCCTGTTTTCCTATCTGCATAGCTGAACGAGGGCCAGCTGCCATCTGCCCAATGCAGCAGGAGCAAGAGCTGGGAACGGGGTCCCAGGAGGTCCCAGGAGCCTGGCATCCCCTCCCTGGCCAGCACGGCAAGGAGGCACAGGCCCCGGTGCCGGCTGGCCGCTGCGTGTGTAGGGTGGAAACATCTGGGTTCCCGGCCACTGGGCCAACTGGGAGCCGGGGCTGCAGCAGGTGGGCTCGTCCCAGCTTCTGGAAAGCCGGAGTCTGGACAGCAAGGTGGCTGGGACAGGGTGGGGGGGACCAGGGGCAGGTGGAACCCGCCGCATGGTCCAGAGACGCAACAGCCTTGTCGAGGGACTGCCCCTCCCAGCCCAGAACAGGGGTCTGTGTCCCCGTTCTGTCCCCGGGAGCACCAGGCACTGGTCATGGGACACCTGGGCCCTGACTCCACCTCTGGTGGAGGCTCCGATGCTCAGGAACCTCCAGACCCTCCCATGGGCGCTTAGCCCGGGGACATGGGCATTTGCAGAACAGCCACGAGGACCAGAGCTTCAACATCCACAACATCTCGGCTCTGTTGAGCGCCTGGCTGAGGGCACCGAGGGGTGTGTCCCTGGGCTGTTCATGTTCTGACTCCACCTCATGTGCAGTCTGTGGTGTCCCGGTCTGAGGCCCTGGGGACAAGGTGGGCGCCTCTCCGGGGGACAGGAGGATGAACTCTGCAGGCTGGTGGTGCGAGGGCAGCCTCCCGACCTGCAAGAGCCTCGGTGAGCAGAGAGAAACTGAGGCCAGGAGGTCAGGCAGTGCCAGGCCTGCTGTAGGGAGGATGGATCAGCCCTGGTGCTAGCTGGGTGTGGGGGATGCCGGGGGTCCTGCCTCACTGGGTCACAGCCACCACTGGGGACCTGCCACCAACACAGGATCGGACAGAGTCCAGGCGGTCTATTTTACAGCAGAGAGGCGGAGCACAGAGCCATAGCCTGACCTGGGGACCCCTGGAAGGAGCCCTGAGCCAGGCAGTCGTTTTTTCTGGTACCGAGGATCGAACTCAGGACCTCGTGTTTGCCAGGCAGGCGCTGTGCTGCTGAGCTACATCCCCGGCCTGAGTCTTCTTCAGACAACTCTTCACCCATCCCTCAGCCCAGCCATGTGCCCGCCTGCCTGTCCACTGCCCACTGCCTCTCTCACTCTGCTCCCGCCACGCTGGCCCTGCTGCTCCTCCTGCTCCAGGCCCTGGGCATGTGCTGCTCCTGCTCCCCGGAGGGCTCTGTCCCCAGCTATGCCCCCGGACCTCAGCCCCATGCAGCGTCCCCTCCTCTGAGGGCTTCTGCAACATTTCTCCCCTGCCCATGGTTCCAGTTTCCACAGCGATGACCGCGCTCTGGTCAGGATGCTGTCTCCTCTTGCAGCCATGCTCCTGAGCCTCAGCTCCTGGCACCCAGTGGTGCTTGGGGTGCAGCTGTGTGGACGGGCACCCATGGCCATCGAGGGCACAGCGCTGAACCTAGAACTCTGGTTCGATGCTGAATATTCAGCCCTGACTAGTTTGCAGCCTTAACTAGTAGGAATCGGCCCTGACTGGTCGGCCCTGTTCCTCCCAGGTCCAGCACCCGATCAGATGCTGGAGAGGATGGGGTTGGGCTCGGGGCTCACCCTACCTTCAGGAAGGGGATGACGAATGGCCGCAGAGGGAAATTGGTGGCCTCCTGCAGCTTGGCGTGGAACTCTTCGATCGTCAGTGTCGAGTTCTGAGGAGGAAGCGACTATTAGCAGCTGCCGCTGACGAGGGGGCCCAGGTGGGCGCCAGGTGGCATCACCACGCCCCAGCCAGGGTGAGGGGGCCCGTGTGTGTGCGTATGCACACGCTCACGTTGTGGGCAGCCTACTCACCACCAGCCCCAGCACCAGCATGCGCACGCGCTCCCCGATCTCGGGCGAGATGTCGCTGCCGAACTGCTGCAGGGTGCTGAGGAAGCGCTTCAGCTTGCTGAGCTGCCGGGCCCCACAGGCCGGGGGCAGGTGCTGCGTGGACAGCGCAGCTGAGCACGACGTGGCCGGGCCGTTGCTGAAGCCGTTGGGTGTGGACGGGGCACCATGCACGGCTGTTGGCGAGTGGCTGCCGCCGTTCATCACTGTGGGGGAGGGAGGGAGCAGCATGGTGGTGACCGGGAGGCCGCGCCCAGCAGGCAGCAGACGGATGACAGCGACTGAATGACAGCGGGTCCCAGGCTGTGCCTGGTGCGCCGTGCTCATCACTGTGAGGTCCTTGCAGCCATGCAGGGGCCAAGTGGTGCCTTCATCATGCAGAAACTGCACCGGGGATGCAGCCTGTGCCCAGGGTCCAGGGAGGGAGGCTAAGGGAGGCCATGGCCGGGCAGCTGGCGTGACATCTGGTCAGGGCCCACGCCCATCACTGGCTTCCTGTCACCTCTTCCTGGGGCGGAGACGAGGAGCCACTCACCACCGCCCAGGAGCCAGCAGCCCTGTCTGTGTGGCAGCCGGGCCACGTCCCTCTGCACGGACGCCTCCCCACCCAAGCCATGCCGCTGCCCCTGAGCAGTGCCATTGCCTGCAGGCTGGGTCCTGCCTGGGGCTACTGGACATGCAGAGGCATGTGATCCGCCCTGGGCTGGGGGGCATTGGGAACAGGCAGGGACAGCTGATGTGTACACAGCGGGGCCAGCACTGTTCATCACCGAGACAAGATGCTGGCTGGCCCCACTGTCAGGTCAGAGTCCCAGGGCCCTGGTGGACACTGGGTTGTGGTGACGCTCCCCAGGCAGGTCCTCACAGCGGCCCGGTGATGTGGCAGAGGCTGTGGTGGGTGTGGGCAGCCCCACACTGTGCCCACACCCTCTGCTGGCCTTGGGGAGCCTGCCTGGCCAGCTCCAGGGCCTGCAGCCAGACTGGGGCCACAGACCACAAATGCGCGCACATGAAGGCTCACGCACACCTCTCCTGCTCCACCCTGGCCTGCTCCCACCCCAGGTGCTGTCCTGGCCTGGCACCTTGCCTCTGCATTCTCAGGCCCAAGCTGGGAGTGCGGGGTTGGGGCTGAGCAATCAGGGCCCATTTCCTGGAGGCCTGGCCACTGCTGCCTTGTGTCGAGGCCTGGTGGGGCCTGTGAGTGCCAAGGGAGCAAGGAGCCAGGTGCTTGGGTCCTGCAGAGCCGGCCTTGGGCACCTGCTCTTTCCTGCCGCGCTTGGAGCCTGGGGCCCTCACGGTGCCCCTGCCCCGTCTGTCACAACCTGGGTCTGGGTGTGAGCGCTACTGACTGCTTGCTGGGTCTGGTCACCCTTCGTCCGCCCTGCTCCCACAAGGCCAGCCCCGGGGTCTCTGCTGCCCACATCTGGGCTCCTCCACTGCCTGTGGTCGTGTGACTGGCTCCGCTCAGACACCACTGAGGCTCCAGCAGGTGAGCACAGGCAGGCCAGGCTGGCACATCCCACAGAACCTGCCGCAACCCACAGGGCACACAGGGCCACTGGGCCCTGAGAAACCCAGCAGGGCAGCCCCAAGCTGCCCCTCACCCCATGCTGACCCACTGCCCAGGGGCACAGGAGCCAGGCAGGACCCCAGCCAGGGGGCGCTCTCGGGGAGAGGGTGGGTGTGCTCTCTCTTGTCCCAGGTCTGGCGGTCACCCTCAAGCGGCCCATGTGTGAGAACGAGGACAGACATCGCCCTCGCAGGTGGGGGCACAGCCGCTTGGGTGACATGGGGGCTTGCCTCAGTTTCCTCATCTGCAATATACCCAGGGTTCTGGGGACTCCGGAGCACAGCCCGGGGAGGCCCCCTGTGCTCCACAGTTCCTTCTGTTTGAGCCTGCCCCCGTTCACCTCCCCTGGAAGGTGTCCCTGGGGTTCCCCATGACTGGCCAGCATGCTGGGCACCACAAGGATGATTGTGGCCAAGACCTGAGTGCTGCACCTGCCCTGCACGGGCTATAGTGCTGGGTGGCAGTGCCATGGGCACACGCGGGCTGGACCCGCCTGGCACTCTGGCTCGGTGAGCTCCTCTGAGGCTTAGGACAGACAGCAGCTCTGGCCTGGTGCCACACGCACAGGAACGGCCCGGTGAGGGTGCTGGGCTCAGTGTCCCTCTGGCCTCAGGGCACTGGGCCCCCCCAATTCCTGTGAGCTTCCAGCCCCCGCCGTGGCTGGTTTTCCCTCTCACGGGCGAACTCTGACCCGATGGTAGCCACTGACTCACACACGCCTGGGTTAGGGCCACTGGCAGCCACCCACTGTCCCCCAGCTAGGCCAGGGGGTAGACCTCACCACCTCGGTGGGCTCCTTTCCTGAGTCCTCTGGGCCCCAGTGGCTTCTGAGATGGGCATGCCAGGCCCCCACCCGAGGACGCGCTCCCGAGGCCGCTTACCAGCCTGGCCCTGGGCGCCCCGGTCCCTGAGGCCTGCTCACTGCCGTCCGTCCTCCCTGGCTGCCGGCAACCTCAGCAGCTTGCTAAAGAGACGCCCAAAATAGCCCCAGCACAAGTGCCTTCGCTCCCGCGACAGGTGTGTTACTAAGTTAGACACACACGTGTTCCAGCCGAGGTGCAGGGCCCTCGCGACACCCCAGGCTCCCCAGCCTTGCGGGCTCGGCGGGGTCAGCGGGGACGGAGGAAGCCCACAAACAGCCTTCTGTGCCACCCTCTCCCTGCTGAGGGGTCGGCAGCTCCGTAGTTAGGAGGCCACTGTCACCGCAGCAAGAGCTATACGGCCACGTGGACAGCCACAGAGCAGGGCGCAAGCCAGCGTCCAGCACGGCCCGAGATGACGACCTCTAGGAGGACAAGGCCCAGGCCCTCACGCCCTCCTCCTGTCAGAGCCCGGGGCGGGGTCCTTGTCTGTCACATGGCACAGGGCTCTGAGATCAGCTTCACTTCCTGCACCTTGGTGTGGCCTGGCATTTTGGTGGAACCGACCACAAGGTGCCCAGCATGCCAGCCAGTCACGGGGAACCTCCAGGGCACACAGGTGTGCAGTGCACCGTAACACTGCTTATGCCCAAGGCAGCTGTGAAGAGTCAGCCCCACCACTGGTTGTTTATAGCATTGAGTCTGGCTGAAGCCTATGTGCCGAGGTCAGGCTAACTCGCACCCAAATTACGTTCCCACCACTAAACCTTCAGACTAGAAGGACAGTGTTGTAATTACAACCATATATTTTGTCTATTCTGTTCCTAATTTGAGAATGCTTTGTCTTGTCCTTTATGAGCCTTGTTTACGTTAATTTCCATAGAAACTGCACATAGCTCGCCTTTACCCCAAAGGATGGCCCATAAAAGTCAGTGTCTATGGGCCTGGGATTTAGCTCAGCGGCACCGTCCCTGCCTTGCAAGCACAGGGTCCTGAGTTTGATCCCTGGTACCGAAAAAAAAAAGTGCCTGGGGCTAACCAGGACCTTTGTTGGCTGCACTGGCTTTGGCTGTCCTGGCCCCCACTTTCTCTCCTGGTTCTGTCTTCTAGTTTTATTTCTCAGGCCTGCGTCGTAGACTGGGCAGAGTACTGAAACCTCAGTGCAGGGGTCTCTGGAGCAGGCGTGTGGAGATCACACGGACAGCTCTCCGTCACCCTCCTGCTCAGTGCGGGTCTGCTTTACTGGGGGAAACTGAGGCATGAGTGGCCCTACCTCCCCCAGGTCACCCTGCCAGGAGGAGGAGGCACCAGGGGCCTTGAGTGGCTGTGCCTGGCGCGCCCTGCCCAGTATCACTGTCCCTTTCTGTCCTCACAGCCGTGGGGACTGCCCTGCCACCCAGCCCGCTGCTGGGAAAGCAACTTTGGAGGAGTCACTGTGCCAGGCCACAGTCCGGCTGGTCCTGCGCCCTGGCTCTGCTGCTCTCTGAGGAGCAGGGGACCTGACAGCGCCACCCGCAGGCCGTGGTTCTTATTATTTTACTTACAGAGACAGACCATGGACCACTTTAAGCAGCCGTGGAAACGGCTGTGGGGCAGAGACGTCGCAGGGCCGTCCTCGCCATCTGTAAGTGAAATAAGAAGAACACGCTGTCAGGAGCCACCACAGGGCTGGGCCATGCCCCTCCGGGCCTCAGTTTCCTCATCTGGACACAATGGGGCTGGACAGGGTGATCTATGAGGGCCACTTCTGGCAGGACCCCTGCAGTCTGCGAGAATTTCAGCACCTGGTCAGTGTGGGTGGGACCCCCGATGGTGCCTGGGCCCTGCTCCCACCCCAGGCCCCAGCTGTGTGTTAGTGGCAGGCTCAAGTGCCGTCTCCAGCCTGGAGCCCAGGGCAAGCGCCCCGGGGAAGAGGGCTCACACGGAGGAGGACCTGAGGGGACTGGCGCGATTCTGTGAACAGGCAGGGAGCCCCCATCACAGGGCAGGACGACTTGGCCCAGGAAAGGGCTCCCACCGCCGAGAAGCGTGGCCTGGGTCCTTGCTCCCTGCGTTCTTCTGGGCTGCGCCGCCTCAGCCTCCCTGCCAGCCTTCCCAGCCACGCATGGCTCAACTCCAAGGTCAGCTGAGCCCAGGGTGGAGACCGGCCAGGACAAGTGTGGCCTCAAGCCCAGGGTCAAGGTCGGTCTCGCCAGCTTGGCTCGAAGGCATCCAGGCGGCTGCAGAGGCCTGGCCCAGGCTGCTGCCAGCCAGGTGGGGCGTGGTGAACCTCAGACTCTCGGGGAAACACGTGGCTCGGGGACAACACTAAGGCCACCTCAGAGGACACGTCTGCCCAGCCGATGGAGAGCACTGCCCAGGGAGGAAGACTCGCTGTTTCCCAGGACCCCTGCTCCTTGCAGTCCCGGGGCTCCCATGGGAAACGTGAGCGGGGGCAGGAGGATGGGGGACATGGAGCTCACAGGGCGCCCTCCCATCTGCTCTGTGACCTCACAAAAGACAGCCGCAAGGGGCTTGGCCACCTAGCCACACCTAGCCAGGACACCGAGTCCCCAGGCCAACGCTTGGGCCGTGCAGGCTGGGGCAGTGCGCCCTGCTCCTCCCACACGGCTCTCTAGGCACTGGGCCCGCCCTCGCCGCCTGGGGCTGCCACAGTCCTCTGGCACCAGCTCCTGTCCCCTGGCTCAGATGCCAGCAGTGACACTGCCCACAACCCGCAGCCTCCCCTCCACCTGCTGCACCAGCTCAAAGTCACCCAGTGGACCCGTATCACTTGTGGGCTGGCCCAGACAGAGGGAGGGTGGCCCACCAGTGCCTTGGTTAGGAGACTGGTGTGTGCGTGGCCGCCTCTGCCTGAGCAGTGTGGCCCAGGGCAGGCCCAGAGGAACACCTCCTTCCTGGACCATGCGGCCCCACTGCCAGAGGCCCAGCTGGTGTCCCCTTCCAGTTCCACTGCACATGGGGCCCAGCCTGACCCTGCAGCACAGGAAGCTGGAGGCCCACAGCGAGGTGAAGGTGTGGAGGGCGTCAGGTGTGAGGCTCCTACATATGCCTGCACCCAGCTGTCCCCAGCTGTGCCCTTGGCTGGGAGCAAGCGGCACCCTCCTGTCCACCTCCAGCAGGAGACAGGCCTGGAGCCGAGCCTGCTAAGCTGGTACAAGGCTGGCCTTGCACTCGGGCCTCCCAGCAAGTCCTGCTGTGGGCAGAGCCTTCGGTGCACAAAGCTGGGGCGGCCCGGCTTCCAGGCCCAGGACGAGGCCAAAGCCGGGCTCTGGGCTGCGCCACAGAAAGGGAGCAGCTGAGGCAGTCTGGCTCCTTGGCCTGGGGGGATGGGATGGGGTCACCCGAGGGGCATCATCGGGGAGGCCTGGGAGGGGCCCGGGCACAGCTGTCTGTCCCGAATGCTGGGGTGAAGCCACTGGGTTCTCCCACTCACCCCTGGAAACACTGGCCACACTCCTGAGCCTCTGGGCTCCTGTGCTGGTCCCCCGTTCCTGACTGCTTGGGACCCCAGTCTCGGAGGCACAGCCTCGAAGGAAAGAGCTCCCTCTGTGGCTGTGGGCCAGGGCTGGCGGTGCCTGCTCCAGGCCAGAATCACTGGAGGGAACCCACAACTTCTGACATGGCCCCGCCACCCAGCGGCCCTGCCCCACAACCCCTGCGCGGAGCCACTTCTCGGGGCTCCTGCAGTCACCCAGTGCCCGCTGGTGTCACAGCTCTGTGACTCATCTGACCCCCGTGGTACCGAGAAGCAGGAACCCTGGACGCCCTGTCCACTGATGTGGACCCCGGCAGGCCAGGGGTTCAGAGCGCCCGAAGCTACACAGCCGGACAGCGCAGGCTGAGGACGCTGCCAGGGCCAATCCGGCTTCCAGGCTACTCACGTGTGTGCGGCGTGAAGGAGGGCGGGCGCGCGGCCCCCTGGGACGCAGCGGGGGGCGGGGGCGGCATGCTGGGAGGTGTGGCCCGGGGCTGCGTCTTCACCTCAGCTGGGGAGTCGGGCATCGCTGCGGCCTTCTCTGTCCTGTCTGCTGGGAGAGGGAGAGGAAGTGAGGGCCAGGCAACTGGCTCTGGCGCCCTGCAGATGGCGCTGTGGCAGCCCTAAGGCAGGCTCTCGGGTTTGGCCGGACAGAACCCCACCCCAGGCTGCTCCACAGAGTGGGACCTGAGGCTGAGAGTCCCCAGCATCCCAGGCGAGGCCCCCTCCCCAAGCTTTCTGATGCTGAAAAAGCAGGTGGCATCTGGGGTCCCCTTGGGGACCCTCATGACAACCTGGGCGTTCTCGGCCTGGACTGTCACAGGCCAGCGGGAGGCACTGCTGTGGGAGTCTGTGGCTCAATCTAGTCCCTCAGGGTTGGGGTGTGGGGAGTGGGCTGGGGTGGGCCAAGGACCAGGTGAACCCTGAGGCCCTGAGGGCCCAGAGCAGGGCCCTGAGGGGACGTTGCAGGCTGGCAGGGCCAGGCGCGGCCAAGCAAGGCGGTGCCCTTGCAGGAGGGCTGAGAGCCCTGGGTCACCACCGAGGCCGGCACGCCAGACAGCCAGGGACACCCGGGGCCCGGCTCCTTGGGACACAGTGGGCCAGTGACCCACCGTGCTGAGGGCACACAGACGGAGCTGGGGCTGGGAGCTCCATGGCTGTCAGCCATCTCAGCCACTGTGGTGCCCAGAGGCGGGAGCACAGCCCACCCCAGCCACCCGTGCTCGGCCTGGCACCTGCTGCCCTCAGCTGCAGTCTCTGGCCTCCCTCCCGCTGGGCGCCCCTCCCCCTGCTGCCTGTCCCAGGCTGATGGCTGGGCGCACGTGTGGCCGCAGCTGTGGGGACCTGTCAACACCGTGCCTGCTGCAGGGCCGGTGGCCCAGCCCGGTGACAACCAAAGAAGGCAAACATGCCGGTGCCCCCGAGGGAAGCCGCCCAGCTTCACCACCCCATCTGCCAGGGCGTCCCTGGGCAGCAGCAGATGGGGTAGGGCCAGGTGCTCCAAATGCCAGGCTGCTCCGGGTCACAGGCCCAGGACACTGGGGACAGTGCTGCTCGGGGTTTCCAGATCCCTTCTCTTCCACAGACGTGAACGGAGAAGCTGGGCCAGGAGCGCGGGTAGCGCAGGGCGCGTGGTGAACAGTTCGGGAACCAAGGCGACAGGCCGCACCCCTGTGCCATTTGGCGAGTGCTGACCGGGCAGCACCTGTGTCCGTGGTGTTCCAGACACGAAGCTGGGACACACGGCGCCCTGCTGATGCCCAGTGACTGGCAGGGACTGACGTTACCCCTGTGGCGGAAGAGCAAAGTGCCGCAGGCCCAGCCGTGCACGCTGTGGAGTGTGGCCTGTTCGCAGCACTCCCTCTGTCCCCACAGACACCCACGGGGCTGGTGATTCGAGGAGCCCCTTTCCTGGCAGGTCGGCTCCACCAGTCACACAGTGGCTGGGATTTGAAGCTCGACCCCGTGGTGCCTCTTACTGTCCCCGACGTCCTTCCCCATCGAGGGCTGATTCCCACAGAGGGGAGGCTGGGGCTGCAGGGCAGGAGCTCCGGTCTAAGAAAGCTCACAGGGCACTGGTGGCACTGCCCCAGCCTGCCCTGCCCTGGCCTGTGGTCTGGGACAGCTGTGGACAGTGGACTACCACGTGAGTCTTGGCCAAATGTCAAGTGCGCAGGTTGTGTCCTGAAGTCACAGGCTTGGGTGGCCCAGGTGTCCTGCCCACCTTGGGGAATCAGCCGGAGATGGAGGTGTGGTGGCCCTGGATGTGGATGGGGGATGCTGGGGTGCCCCAGGGGGCACATGGGATACGGCCCCAAGAGGGTGTCCCTGCAGGTCATGTCCTCGGTGGACCGGGACCCAATTCCCACGGGCTCCTGAGCAGAGCCCAGCTCCATGCGCAGGAGGCAGCATAGGGCCTCGAGGGGCAGGGCTGCCTGTCACCGGAGTCCTCGGTGGCAAGCGCTCTTGGGCCTCCAGCGTCACAGCCCCTCCTGGCTGGGAGGGCACTCTGGATGGCTGTGTGGCCCTGGCTCAGAAGTAGGGCACAAGGTGAGGGCCTGGGGTCACAAGGAAGCCCCAAAGAGCCCAGCCCCTGCAGAAAAGTTCAGGCCTGGCGGTACAGAGAAACTGTCATCCCAGCACTGAAGCCGAGGCACGAGGACCGCAAATTCAAGTCCACCCTGGACAACTTGGCAAGGCCTTGTCTCAAAGTAAAAATTAAAAAGGAGTGGTTTCGCTGTCTGCTGCACAAGTGCAAGGGCCCGAGTTCGATCCCCGGTACCAAAAAAAAAAAGGGCCAAGAATGTAGTTCAGTGTGAAGGCCCTGGGTTCACTCCTCAGTACTGAAAAACAAAAAAAAACACCCACAAAACAAACCAAACACTGCATTCCATAAGCGGGGTCCAGGCAGGCCTCGTGCAGCGTCTCCACAGCCCCTTGAGGCAGACACTGCGCTCCCCTTACAGGCAGGGACACTGAGGCACAGCTGAGCAGAGAGTGGGACGGGCCTGGAGGGCACTGAGGAGCGGGCGCTGCCCTCCCTGCCCAGTCCTGACTGGCCTCGGGCCAGCCAGGCTGGTAGTGGGGCTGGGCCAGTGTGCAGGGGCCCGCGGTCTCCAGGGTGTGCAGGGCACCGCCTGCAGCCTGCTGTCTCAGCCCCCAGAAAGTTCCCAGGCCCAGCGCCCAGGCCCAGGGGATCCCCCAGCCCGTCCCGGGCGGGTGCGGGTGGTGGTGGGAAAGGGTGGACTGCGCCGGAACAGCCAGGCCGCCGCCATCCGTCACTGTCCAGCCTTGGTCCCCTGGGACCACCCCAGCTGGGGTCCCAGCCAGATCCAGAGCCCTGGCCCCTGAGCCCTACACAGAACCCGGCAGGGGGCGCTGCCGTGGCGCCAGGCCCCTGACGCTCCACCTCATTCTTCCTCTCCCCATGTGGATCTGAGGGTGGCAGGTGGGGAAACCAAGGCACATTGGGTGGAGTGCACCTGGGCGCCGCTCCCGAGTGCCAGCCTGTCTCCATGGCCACCTCTCACCCCCTGGATGCACAGGGCAGCGCCACCTCCCCAGGGCCCAGGCAGACGGCCCCAGGCCACACCCAGGACAGCGCCACGCTAGGCTTCCTCCCTGGCCGAGGTGGAATGGGCCCACCCTGGATGTGGAGCTCTGTGTGGGCAGCCTGTTTCCACGTCTGTGGGTGGGGACGCAGTGAGGCCTAACGCACACAGCTCTCCCTCACAGCCCTGGGAACAGTGACAGTGACCGATGCACCTGGGGACGAGGGACAGAGGGCTCCTGGCTGTGCTCCTTCACCGTTGTGTCTTCCTTGTGGAAAAGCACAGGTAAGAGGAGGGAGGTCCCTGGGGCAAGGCCACCCCATGACCCTGAGGTCACCACCAGGCCGGGCCCTGAGGACGCGTCCCCAAGCTGAGCCGGAGCACTGCCTGGCCTCACCCAGCTCCCACGCTCGTGGCCCCAGGGCCCCTGTGCTGCCTCTGCGGCCATGCTGGGCTCCCGTGGTCCCAGTGTCCACCCTCTGGTCTGCTACGTCTTTGCCACTTTCCTCGGAACCACAGCCTCCCAATGGGGGCCGGGCCGGCTGCCTTATTTCCTCACACCATCTCTCCAGGTCAGCGCCAGAGGGCCGGGCTTTGCCACCCGCAGCCACGTCCCCAGCAACCACGCCAGCACCGGGTGCAGCAGGACCTCAACGAACACTTGGTGGCCGGTGGCCAGGCAAGGCCAAGCACCAATCTGTGCACGAGGGACTTTGCAGCATCCCGGCCCAGGTCCTCCACAGCCATCCCTGTGAAGGTCTGGGGACCAGGCCCAGCCCCCAGCACAGGGATGGGGTCCCACGCTGGCCGGGGACCCCAGCAGAGCTCCAGTCACTCGCGCCGTCACGGCCGGGCGACAGGGTCCACGGATACACTGGGAGGTGCTGGCCTAGGACCAAGTCCACGCGGCTCCCGCCTCCTCTCGGGTGCAGCACACCTCTCCACGTGGCACCGTCTGTGCAGCCTCCACCGCCTCTGCCCCCACTGCTGCCCAGGACACGGCAGAACCCCGCCCAGGAAGACAGGATGCAGCGGATGCGGCGGACCTCCCCACAGCAAGGCTGCCCCTGTCCTAACTCAAGGCCCACGTGGCCCCGGAGCACCCCTTCCACCCTCACCCCAGGAACCCCAACTTCCTCAAAGCCCGGCACCGGCTCAAGTGAGCATCACCCCACGCACGGCAGGATGGGCCGAAGCCGCCCATGGGCTCCCACAGAGCCTGCCAGGCCACGTGACAGCGATGAGGTGAGGCCACCCGCTGGCCTTGGACACAGCAGGGCCAGCTCCGGATGTGGGCTCTGCACAGGGGCCTCGCAGGGGACACGGTCCTGGGTGGGAGCCTGGAGCCACAGGGTGTGGTGGCACCAGGGTCTCGACTCGCCAGGGTGGCCCCGCCACCACGCTGACCTCCGTGGGGATAGACCTCTTCCCTTGAGGCTGCTGAGTGGGCAGGCGTCGGGCCCAGCACAGCCTGGCACAGGGGCTGCAGGCGGGCTCTCCCGGTCTCCCTGAGGCCCGGTGACCAGGGCTCCTCGCCTGCACCCGAGGCCTGGCATGGCGAGTGGCAGCCCTAGGTCTCTGCCAGCTGGAGCCATTCCTCCAACCCAGGCAAGCTCGGGGCACAAGATCTCGGGACACTGCCCTGGGGCGAGGACAGGCGTGACCGTGACCGGGAAGGGGGTGCGACTCTGTCCCAGGGCGTGGGGGTCTGACATAGGCTGAGCCCGGACCCAAGCTGCCTGTGACCCCAGGCTGGGTTTGGGGCCAGGGCCGCAGCCCTAGTAAGTCGCAGGCAAGCTCGGCCGCAGCTACCACATCTGCTTTCTGTCAGGCCCTGCGGCTGGTGAACAGGACCAGGGTTTTCTCCTCCGTTGGTGGGGCCGCGTCCCACCAGCGATGCTCAGAGCCAAGTCCAGAGTCCTCTCTCCAGCCTCCCCTGTCCTTGGAGGCTGAACCAGGACAACCACTCCATGGGTTAGTAACTCGCTGCCTGCTGGCCCGG